AAGGAGGTATCCAGGCGGAAGATGCAGCCACCGATCTGAGGACCGAGAAGAGCAGGACTCCGGTTGAACAGCAGTAGGAGAGGGAGGCAGAACCGCAGCCACAGTAAATTACCGCGGCAGGCGGCGGATGGTGTCGAAGTATCAGGCATAGAGGAAGGAAAGCGGGGTCCATTACTCAAAAGGCTCAGTCACGGAGAAACAATTCCTGAGCTGGGAGTGCTCTTTCCTTTATCTCATGCGTGAGATAAAGGAAAGCATGCCCCCCTGCCCACCGCGCCCCCACCACCACCAGTTTGAAAAACCTGGGGTGGGGGGCAGGCACCAGGCCTGACCAGGTAGTTCAGTTGGTTAGAGCATCACCCCCATATGCTAAGGTTGTGGATTCTATCCCCAGTCAGAGCACATACAAGAATTAACCAATGAATGCATCAATCAGTGGAACAACAAATCTACATTTCTCTCTCTCTCCCCCCCTTCCTCTCTCCCTAAAATCAATAAATCAGTCACTAAATAAATAAAAACAAAAAACTTCGGAGAGTCTCTGTTCCATCTAACCAAAGAGCTCAGTGGCAACAAGGAGCTATTTGCAACGTCTCCTTGAGCTGCCCTATCCACAACCCTTGATGCCCCAAATGTGCACATTAAATATAGAAGGGAGGCCAGGTGCTGTGAAAGGGAGGAAAGAGAGAGGACAAGAGAATTCAGACTGCGGAGAATTTCATAGGCGGGGAGGGGCATGCCAGAGATGAGAATCTAAATATTTCAGCAGCGTAATGCTGTAGGGAGAGAGGGTGTAGAAGACCCAGAGGATTTGAGGAGATGAGAGAGGAGCAGAGTTGATTGCCTTCAAGTTGTTTTTCCAAGTTTATTTTTAAAAAAGAAGCATTGCCTACTCTGAACTTGTGGCATAACTTGGAAATAAAAGCAATCCATTAGTAAAGGAGAAATAAAAGCCAGCCATTGTAAACTCTCAGAGACCTTCAGAGAAATATTGAGCTGACTGAAAGCTCCTGAACAAATATACTTTTTACAAGATACAGTTTCATATACTTCCAAAAAAATTTGTTCCCACTGGTATATTTTCTTAACAATATACATGGTGAAAAATACTTCCTGGTCAACTGATATCACTTTAACTCTTTTTTATTTAATAACATAATCCATAGTATGGCTATTCTAGTTTATTCTACCTTTCCCTTGTGGATGGGTGTTTACTTTATTTATACTTTTTGTCATAACAAATAATGATGTTGCAATAAACTTTCTTATATATGTGTATTTTATATTGGTGCTTTTATTTCCATGGGATGGATTCCCAGAAGTAAGATTCCTGGGGTCAAAGGGCACAGATTTATCTTAATAGATATTGTCAGATTGCTTTTTCAAGTGGCTATATAAGCATAAGGTGGGGCAAAATGAGGTTTCCAGTTGTTTGTATGGAAAATAATACAATAATGAATAAATAATAACAAGAACAAACCCTCTTCCTCATACTCGCAGCTATAAACTTACTTTGCCCCACCCTCTGTACACTTTTTACCAGCAGGGGGTGAGAGCTCAGGGCCCTGGTCCCAAAGGCCAGTGTGAGGACAACCCACCTCCAGGAACATCCGATAAGTAGGTGTTGGGAAGCACCCAGGAATCTGAATTTTTTCAAAGTTCTCTGTGTAATTTAATAGAAAGTAAGACTTGGGAGCCACAGGCCCACCTTCCTGCAGGACTTACCCCAAGGGCAGACTAAGGGGCAGAGATCAGGAAAGACATTTGACGGAACTCCCTTCTGCAAATGGCCTCAAATTTAAACTTTTCACGTTATCCCCAAATACCATTATGAGCAACAGAGACATCCTAACCAGACTGCAAAAAGAAAGTATTAATAATTCAACCTGAAGTTCGTGTCTCTTTACCTGTCCACCCCACTGGTAGTATTTATCATTCAACACATTTTTGTCGCTAGCACAGTTATGTGGTAGAACATTGCCATCTGTGGCGGAACAGTTTAAATTCGATTAAGCCTACAGCTTACGTATAACATATGGCCACATTCAAACAGTGATTGCGACAGTTCTTCCATCAATATTATTTTCCCGTAAAAGTCTACCCTTTATATACATCAAAATTACTTGAATGTTCTAATCTTTCTGGGTAGAGAAATTATTGCATTGCACTGGATAAAATTCTGAGGAGTATTTATTTGTGAAAAGTGACTATTGAAAACACTGTATGTTTTATAGCCCTATGTTGGCATTTCTGCATTCTTGTCTTTCCTATGCGTGCCACCCTCCCTCCCGATCTCCCCTTCTCTCTCTCTTTTAGTCTCCGCCCCCACCCCCACCCCCGTCCCCGTCTCCGCTCTCCCTCTCCCCCTCCATTCTTCCTCCTTCTCTCCCCTGCCCACCGCCCCTTCCTTCCCCGGCCTCAAGGGCACCAGGTCCGCCTCCCAAGCCCACCGGGTCGAGCGCAAGCACTGCTGCAGTTCCAACACTGGCCACTAGGGGCCCTCTGCTCTCCAGGCCTAAGAGGAGAGAACAAATCTTTTTCCCTTATCCAACGTTAACAGAAATACCGTTAATTCTCGTGGGTATTTTCAAAAGACGATCCCCAGGCAAACCGAGAGGAAATAATAAGAAATGAAGAAAAGATGCTCCCAACGGAAAACAGTGGTTCCCACATTTAAGAGGACTAAACCCTCCCAGCGTCTCCCTAATAAAACTCTCAGGGAGTTTGATTCCTGATCAAGGCCCAGCGCCCAGAGTGGTAACATTATGTCCTCCCGTCTCCTCCGCCCTCGGGGAGCTGCGGACATTCTAATGCCACTCGTCTCCGTGAGCCACAGCCCCGGTTGTTCCCTTACTCCTGCCCATAGCTGGGTTCGGCTATGTATGTCCTTTCCCGGACAATCTCTTTATGGGGACCCTTTGGGTGTGAACTGGGTTCCTGCCAGGATCCAAATTGTCACATATTTCTTTGTACCATGTTGCAAATATTTTCCCTCAGTCTATTAATTTGTTTTGGACTTTGCTTAGGGTGATTTTCATGAAATTATGTTTAGTTGTGTAATCACATTTATCTTTTCTATCGTCATTACTTCTATGGTGTCTAGTTAGGGAAGTTTTCCCCGCTTCCAGATTATAAAGGAATTAATCTTCATTTAGATCTCTGACATATTGGGGATTTGCCTTTTACACAAACTCTTAAATCACCACCTGGGCACAAATTCTGTTGCTGTGGGATATGCTATTTTCTCAGAAGAGCGGTAATAATGGTGAAATGACCATAATTGCTTATATGTCTATTCAGTGCATTACAGTTTAAGGCAGATCCTAATAATAGTAATAATAATAAAAAATGATGATAATAACTAACGTTAACTACAGCTGGCTAAGTTCTAGGCATTTGAAAAGTATTATGTCATCTAATCCTGATAATTACGGTTAAAAAACAAAATTCAACTAAGTAACTATGAAGATCTAAGTAACTGGCTTTATTAAGTGACTCGTGATCCAGGGAGCTCCCAGAAGGTGCTCCAAGGGGGTGTCCACAACAGAAGTTGTCATAGCAAGAGGCGTGGTCTAGAGAGCTACTGACAAAGAAAAGAAAGGATTGTTTGGGGGCCAGGACATCTCTGGGGGAGGAGGACAGGGAGAGACTGTATTGGTCAGGTCCCTTCTTCTTTCCGTGGTGGATGGAGGGGGCCCATGTGACAGGTCGCTTTCCTGGGGGTGGACCAGGAATTCCAGACTGGTTGATTACGTTTCCCGGAGAATGTGACGGAGTCCCCTCACTTGGTAAATCTGACACCATGAGTGGCACTGGTCACAGTGATGAGGTTTTTTTTCCCAAAATGATGAACAATGCTTGGTGAGGTTCGGACAAATCCGAGTACACTTTTCCCTCAGCTTACATGGTAACACCGTTCCTGGACAAACTGGTGCACGACAGAACCACGCAAAAGAATTTCTGCTGTTTGGGGTCTTTCAAAAGTCACGTGTGAGCGGAATTGTGTTTTGTCTCGGACTGTCCCATGCACTGTGCATTGTTTGGTACCTGGGGTCCCCACCCACAAAGTGTCAGAAGTGTCCTCTAATCATTATGACAACCCCAAAGCACCCTCAGATTTCCGAAAAGTCATGCTGAGAAACAGATAGAGCCTTTCTGTCCCAAATAACAGACATAAACCCACCTACACTTAACAGACAAATATGTATTAGCTCTTGTAACGTACCTGGCCCGGGGTACAACTTCCGGGAAGGCATCATCCAGGATCACACAGGTTAGCCAGCATCTAATTTCTCTATTTCCAAACCTAAATTTTGGTTTCCCCCAGTATTCTCAGCACAATGTCCCTGAGCCTCCACTCTGAGCCGTCTCCGTCCCGGAGCCAACCACGTGGCTGCCGAGGATGGGCAACGCCGACCAGCAGAGCCCACGCCTGGAGCTGGGGAGACTCGGCGCTGGGTCAGCCCCAGGGCTGACCCTCAGAGGGAAGCAAGGTTCTTCCCAAAGGGAATGTGAAGGCACGCTCCTCCCAGGAGAGGGAATGGAGCCTGAACAGCCAGCAGTGGCCGAACACAATTTCTGCCCTCGGGACCTCTGGGAATGGGCCCCGAACCTCAGCATTCTAGCAAACTTCCTAAGAGATTCTCTGAATTGTGAAACAGCTTTTATGGAGACGTAATTGAAAGCCCAACGAGGGTTCTAAATTCTCCACACCTTCCACCATACTCATTGTGACGCTCTTATCGTGGTGTCCTACGGCTTGTCCTGTGCTCATGTTACAGAACATAGAGGTGTGGGGGGTGCTGAATGATAAAAAAGACCCCCCTTTTTCTCCAGGGGTTCCTTCCCACCGACTAGGTTCATTTTGCCCGCCGCCTGAGGAAAGATGTCTTTTAATACCAGAGATCAGTGAAAAGGAAAGGAATTTATTATTTATTTGAAACAGTACAAACTAAAGTTCCCCACAAATGCACAGTCCTCCCAGCACCCTCTACGTGGTAAGAGACAGCACTTCCAAAGCCTCATGGTCCTGACTCTCACCCAAGCCTCACGGTCCCAACCAAGACACCAAAGTCGCGTGGTTCTAAACAGACGCGTGGTCCCTCAAAAAGAGAGACGCCCAATGGCTGCCGTGCCTCTGTTTAAATCCCAGAGCTGATCTTCCTCTGCAGCCCCATTTCCGGCTCCTCCCACAATTGGCCACAGCTGCCCGCATTCTGGGCAGGTGTGCCCTGTGGTGTGGGGCCAATTATCTCCAAGCCCTTCTGGACCTTATTACAGATCCCCATTTGGGGCTCCCCTCTTGGCTGCACCCTGTTACACTCACTCATGTGTCTTCTTTGGAGAAATGTGTGTTGAGATCCTTTGCCCATTTTTAAAGTGGGTTGTTCATCTTTTCATTGTAGGTGTTCTTTGTAATATCCTGGATGCTGGTCCTTCATCAGATACGTGATTCACAAACATTTTATCCCATTTTGTGAGTTGTCTTTTCATTATCCTCATGGTGTCCTGGGAGACAGGAAAGCGTTTAATTTTAATAAAAACCTACACATCAAACTTCTCTTTAATCAATTGTGCTTTTATTGTTGTGTCTAAGAAATTCCAAGAGATCCTTATATATCCCAAAGTTTGAGGCCTTTAAAGATATACTTTCACCTATTATTATTTGTTGTTTAATTTATTTAAAAAGTTGCCCTGGCTGGTGTGGCTCAGTGGGTTGAGCACAGGCCTGTGAACCAAAGGGTTGATGGTTCGATTCCCAGTCAAGGATCATGCCTGGGTTGCAGGCCAGGTCTCCAGTAGGGGGCGTGTGAGAGGCAACCACACATTGATGTTTCTCCCTCTCTTTCTCCCTCCCTTCCCCTCTGTCTTACAATAAATAAAATCTTTTAAAAAAAGTTTTATTGGGTCAGGCCTTCAACCTATAGTGGTGAATAAAACAGTCAGGGGTTCTGTCCTTGGGGAGCTGATGGGTATTGTTGGAGGAGGCATAGTAAACACACATGAATGGGAGAAACAGACATACATCATCACTTGGGTAGCAGAGCTTAGAGAATCTCTTTTGGACTGGTCAGGCAAGACTTCTGTCCAAGGTGACATTTAAACTCAGAGGTGAAAGGCAGGAAGGATGCAGCCTGTGAGTAGTAAGGGACAATATTCCGTCCGGAACAGACAGGCAAACTTCACCATTTGGCTTCGACTGGTTTTACGTGGACTGCTGGACTAAAAAGATATTTTACACCAAAGATGTCTCGTCATCTGTCGATTCCTCAATCAGCATTTAGGGTCCACATGGACAAGGCCTCTCATTATTTTAGTTCGGAAGTCTTTGCAGGGAGGAACCCCGAGGAGAATGGCCTATGAAATTGACCTGGGAAAGGAGAATTATTATACATCTTTCTCCTAGTTTTCTGACCCAGAAATAATTCTTGCTCAAATCATTCTCGTTGTCCACACAATGGTACAGCAATGTACAGTGAAATCATTACTTTAACAGTTTTCCTGTTTTCTCTCCATTTGACTGAACACTGTTCGCAGGTCAGTATTAGCTCTGGGGGGAAGAAAACCCAGCCTTCAGGGCAGTGGAAAGGGTGCATCTGCTGGCAGCAGCTCCTGTCCTGAATGCACAGGCAGTGCCGAACTCAGGAGCGGCGGGAAGAAAAATCTTTGTGATAAATAATGTATGTGATAATGAGCGGCAGGAGAAACCAATGTGTTCGGAAGAAGGGCTCACTGCGGACTAGAGTGAAACATGGGATGGGCTGTTTCCGAGTTGGGGGCGTTGTGGGGCCCAGAGAGCCACATTGTGGGTTCTCATTCTTGCCAGGCCAGTCTGCCACTTGGGGGCGTATACTTTCAGAACTTTCTGGAATACCGGCTTTCAAAGGGCCTCAGTGCTCAGGGTCTGCAGCACTAGGTGATGTACTCGCCTTACCTCACTGCCTCTCTTTAACTCTGCACAGAGGCAGCTACGAGTCTGCCTACCTTACACATGACGAAGCCGGGGTTCAGAAAGGCGAAATAACTCCCCCAGGGTCACAATGCTTAGCCGGTGTCGGAGCCAATTCAAATTGTAAAAATTACATAAATAACTAGGGATTTCGGAGTAAAAGCATAAACTACTCTGGAGAACAGACGGCTGGCTCTAGGCCCCCTCAGCGCCCCCCGCCCCCCGCGGGGGACCCAGACTGGGAGGAGCTTCAGCCGCCAGGTTTCGGCCGTGCTGAACACCTGTCCCACGGAGTATGAAGCCATCCTTTTACTCTTTTTCTCCCCGTTACCCCGTGTCCCTGAGGACAAGCTGGGTGTTTGGCAGGTGCTAGACAGTCAATTATGGTTCTAAATGCTGCCTCCGCGGCCTAATAATAATATGAAAGCCGTTCCCGCAGTGCCAGCCTGTAGACAAGGGAATAATCGGTGCATGTACCAAAGCAGATGGGTTCCTGGGGGATTTGAACCACGCTCCGGGGACAGGATCCAGGTTTTCGCTGGAGTTGGGTGAACTTAACTTCTCCCCGATTCTTCCCTGCTCTGTTTCTCTCTCCCTCCCTCCCTGCCTTTTTAAATTAGTTTTACCGTTTGCTGCAACTTTTCGTCCCCTGGGTAGCCTGGCTGCCCAGAAAACGCAGGAGACGGGAAGGAAACCTCACGAGCAGGCTCCGTCCTGCCCTGCGGACTCGCAGCGCGGGTCTGAGTGTGGCCGGCGCTGACCGCTCCCGGCCTTTCGGTTGAGAGGGAGGGACGGCAGCCTGGGGAAAGTCTGTTTAGATCCACCCCGCCACCCCCACGGGCCCCGGGGTCCTCCCGGGCCGCCTTCGCGGGGGCTGCCCCGTGACCCCGGGGCCCGGGACAGCGCCTGGCAGCCCGCGGAAGCTCACGCGTGGGCCGGATGAATGGAAGGTGAGCGGAGAAGACGACGCCCGGAGTCCAGGCGAGCCCCGAGGAGGAGATGCTTCTGGGCGCGGCCTCCGGCAGGAATTCGGAAGTGTGAGTGCGATGCCGAGAGACACGGAGAGGGGACGTCCCAGCGGCTGGAAGTGGGGTGGAGGGACGGGACCTGGAAGGCCCGGGCCGGGGCCGCAGGGGTTTGCGGGGGCCGAGTGGGGCGAGCCGAGAGGGTAAGGGCGAGACAAAGAGGCAGCCGCCGCGGAGGCCGATCGTGGGAAGAAATGGAACAGGGGCGGCGGGGCTGGGGGCGGGGGGGGGGGGGACGCCGCGCAGGAAGGGGCGTGAGGACCGAGGGGGGCAGCGCCGGGCGGGGCGCGGGGGGCGGAGGCGCGGGCGGCGCGAAGTTCCCGGCCTGCGCCCGGCGGTCCGCGTGCTGGCGGCCGGGCGGGAGGAGCGAGCGGGCTCGGGGCTGAAACCCGAAACCTCCGGTCCCCGCGCGGCCCGAGGAAGGAAGCGGCGGCGGCCAGGCGGGCGGTGGCCGGTCGGGCCCTGCGCTGCCGCGCGGCGGCCCCTGGGTGAGCAGAAGGGGCGCGGGGTGGGGGACGCGGACGCGGATGGAGCGCGGCCAAGCTGGGGGTGCAGGGCGGGGGCGGGGCCTGCGCCGGGGGGGTCTCCGCGCCTCGCCGCCCCCTCGGAAGTACCCTCAGCCGCACCCAGCCTGGCTTTTGGAGCTGGAGCTCTTTGTGGTGTATCCTGGGGGCGCGCCCCTCCCCGGCGGCCAGGGGTTTCCGAGCGGCCCTGCCCGCAGCCTCGCCCAGTTTCTCGGGCGCCGTTGAAGCCCCTGCCAAGACCCCCGGGGAAGGAGGACGCGGTGCGTGCTGGGGACTGGCTGATGGGGGTCGCGGGCCCGCAGACTGAGGGGCTTCAGGTGGGGTCGGGGACAGTTGTGTGGGGCGGAGCGACCTCGCCTCTGGGCTGGAACCCGTGAGCACCAGGTGAGCAGCATCCTTCCTCTGGTGGGGTTCAGGGCGCCGTCTCGCCACACCGGGAGGAGGGGCGCGCCTAGAAGTCGCTGGCCAGCCGTGGCGCCTCTGCCGCTCGATCTGCGAGAGGGAGGTCTGGTTAGCTTTGGGTGGGGGCAGCGGCCAGCCTTCGGCGCCTCCTGGGTCAGACCATAACCCCGCGGAACCTTTGATAAAGGCCTGCGGGATGACCGTGGCGTCTGGGCGCGCTTCCGAGAGGTCTGCGCTCCAGCACCCGCGGGGCCAGGCACTGGCCTCGCTGTAGGTCACACCTTTGAGGGTATTTTGGTGCCGTGTTGTATCTTTGATCGGTTTCTGCGAAGTGCTTTGGAGAGCAGGTCGTTTGGAGTCGGGAGGTGGTGAGGTTTTGGAGGGAAAGGCCTTGGCTGCTGGATGTGTCCAGTGGGGACGACGGAAGAAACCCGGAGCCAGCCTGTGTCGGCCCGCCGGCCTCTTCCCTGCCGACCTGCACCCGGACCGTCCTCGGAAGAGCCACCGTGTCCAAAATAGGTGGCGTTCCCTTAGAATCATCGCACTGCGGCCACTTGGTGAGACAGGTGGGGAGAGGCGTTTGGGAGGCCCCAAGAGCGGAGAGAGAGGGTGGGAGGACCTTACACCGCACAATCCAGGCGCTTATTTCAACTCGGTTTGACCGGGATTCAGATTCCGGCCACCCCATTGGGGTCGCTTCCTCCAGAGCACCCCTCTCCTCCTGTCCTAGGCCACACCCCCCTTATTTTATACTTGTGAGATGCTTGATGCACTTTCACCTACTTTTTTGTTTTATTCAGTAACGGCCCTCTGTACAGGGCTGTAGACTCAAGACGTGGGGAGGGGCTCTGCCCCGGCCGGGTGGCTCAGTAGTGGCAGCGTCGTCCTGTAACCAAAGGGTTATTGCAGGTTCAATTCCAGGTCAGGGCACATGCCTAGGTGGCGGGTTCGATCCCCGGGCTGGGCACCTGAGGTTCCCAGTCCCGGTGCTTATGGAGGCAACCGATGGATGATGCCTCTCTCCCGCATCTGGTGACGTGGCTCCATCACTCGTGGAGCCCTGAACTCCGAGGACTTGTCCACACCTCGCTGCTTCAACGCCCCGCAGGGAGATCAGGGGCCTGTCAGCCAGGGGCCTGCTCGGCGTTTTAGAGCTAAATCCAAGGTCTCCGGCACTCAAACCCTCAAACCGTCCCCTTTGTTGTAGCCCCATGCGCGGTGGGAGTCGGTGAGACCAAGGAGCAGGGGGCCCGGTGGTCTGAGGCTGAGGTCTTTGGGTCGGTGGAAGGCAGAACGGGCTGAACCAAAGCTGACCTAAATGTCAGCCACGGGAGGTTCCCTTGTGTGGTGTAAACTCTGTCTGTGCCGGCTGGGGCCGTCAGGAGGCCTGCCTGCAGGGGGGAGGCCAGCGGCAGGAGGGCCGGGTGGGGTCCGCCCCGAGGGCAGGCCTCCCTCCTGCAAAGAGGCAGGAGCAGGTGCAACCCTGCCCCAGCACCCAGCCCGGTGCCGCCTGACCTGCATCTGAAGGAGGAGGGGTCCGGGGGGGAGACCTGTCCATTTCTATGGGGAGAGAAGCTCTGTATTTTGAAAGTTGGCAACTCACGGAGAACATTGTTCAGAATGTGCAGGCGGGTGTGGCCTGTGGACTGCCCTTGGCGTGAGCAGCCCTCAGGACGCGCCCGCTGTCCTCGTGAGAGGCAGTCAGCCGTGCCCGGAGGGGAGAAGCCGAGTCTCCTCGAGGTTTTTCTTTGACAACAGCAACCAGAAAAAAAGAGAAAGAAATGGACAGAACTGGAGATGGCTGTTCACGGGACCCGGAGTTTAGAGGAACGACTGACTGTCTCTGGGACTCAGTCGAACCATGAAATTCGCCACCCCCCCCCTGCAATTTTTCATTGAAGTGTTTGTGGTTTCGTCAGTTTGTGAGGCTCTTTGTGAATTCTGGGCTTGAATCCCCTTCCTGTTAGTGAGTCAGACGTCTTGTCTTGTGCGTCTTCTCCGCCTTCGCTTATCGTATACCTTTGTGCACGAGTGTTTCATTTTTATGTGGTTAAATCTATGTGGATTTTCTCTGTGGCTTCCAGGCTTGTTGCTTAGAAAGTCCTTGGCATCTTAAGATGACATTTTCCTAAATTTTCTCTTCTCCATTCTCTTGGCTACTTATTATTCAAAAATATTTTAAAATTACTCCTTCTCTACCTTTTTTCAGCTTCTCTCCTCTCTGGCACCAGGGAGGCCCGGCTTGAGTCGGCCAGCAGCCCCTTTAGGACAGCGTGGCGGCGATAATTTCTTGCCTTTTCATGGTGACTTTTCACCACGTGTTTTTTTTTTGTTATTTTTACTTTTGCATCCTTCCTTCCATGTAATGTTTAAAGAAGCGGCAGTGTCGCCTGTTACATGAACAACTAACCGAGGAAAGATGGATTTCCCTGGGGAGCAAAGGAAATCCGCAGAAAGAACCTTCTGTTCACAGAAGTAATTATTGGGCCAGGTGGGGGTGCAGTACGAGGAAGACCCTCGCCTGGTGCTCACGCTGGTGTGATTGTCCGCATCGCAGGGATGAGCTCCTCTGCGGGTGGGAGAGGAGGCGGACAGGACACCTGGACACGGGCTGTTGTCAGGTGCAGAGCCATGAACGGGAGAACAGCGGGAGTGTGACCGGGACAGCCGGAGTGGAGGGTGCCACTCATGGTTGCATTCTGCAGGTGCCAGAGGGTGGCACGGCGTGATGGGGCTCGCCTAGGGGACTGTCAGCCCGGCAGCAGGTTGGAGTGGGGGGCAGGTCGGAGACACAGAGATGAGGTGGAAAGGTCTGGTAGTCGTCGGGGGAAGACGGCGGGGCTCTGGGCTGGGACGGTGGCGGTGAGGGTGAGGTTCTGAGGGAGACTGGTGTGCGGTGGGACTGGAACCCGTCAACACGGGCTGCTTTGCGTCCGTGATCTCATGGAGAACGTGAGGATGGGAATCCCGGGCTCAGATTTGTGCAAACACCGACCCAGGGCCTCGCTCCGTCCGGATTTCCTGGCGAGAGTCGTCTGGGGCGTCCAGAGTTGCGACCCGAGAGATGGGGTGCGCGGTGGTGTTTTTTCCTAGGGCAGAGAAAGCACGGGGAACAGGGTATGGAGCCGGCGGGGCAGAGATGACGGATTCCGCTTTGCACTGCTTATATGCGAGGTTCCCGGCATGACGTTCGGGACAACACATCCTCTGGGTGGGCGGCCACGGACCCGGAGCTCCGAGGAGCGGTCTAGGCTCCAGGTGCAGATTTTGGAACCGTCGTCGTTTACGTGGGTACACAGAGAGGCCTTCAGGAGAGGGAGCAGATGCCAGACAGGACTCTTTTTATTTTTCAGTTGCAGCTTACATTTAATGTCATTTTGTATTTATCTCAGGTGTGCAGCCTAGTGGTTAGGTAATCACGTACCTTACAAAGTGGACATAGGACTCTCTTTTTTCGCAAGGGGCACAAAATCCAGCTGAAACGGACTTAAGCGAAAAGGAAAGTTACTGGCTCCCGGCGCTGAAGAAAAAGCTCAGGAGTGTGTGTGGCTGCAGGTGTGGGCCCAGCATTGAAACCATTTCATCTCCTTTTCTCGCCTCTCCGTGTCCCAGGCTGCCCCCCTTGTCGTGGGTGGGGGAAGCTGCACTCCATCCAGATCCGCAGGGAGCGGGGAGCTCTCTGTCCCCCAGCGGCCCCAGCCACAGCCCCCTTCCGTCTCGGAAGCTGATTGGGCAGAGGGCGTTGGGAGGTGATTGGCGTAAGACGTGTGTCGCCTCTGTGAACTCAGACTGTGAGAAGGTGACCCAGGAGAAGCTCAGGGGCGCCTGCCGGTGCGAGGGCCGGGGATGTAGAGGCGGCAGCTGGTTGCTTCGCTTCCCTTTGCAGCTGGGAAAGGAAGGAGCACCGATGGCATCCGGGGACAGTAACACAGGGCAGCACAATGGCAGGTACCGGGGGACCGGGGGACCGGGGACCGGGAAGGAACGACGGAGGGAGATGCAGGGGGGGACAGGGCCGGGGAGCCAAGGGAACAGGGCGTCTGAGGCAGAAACGGAAGCAGCCGGGGTGCCTGGGGCAGCAGAGGTTCACGGGCACACGGGGTTCAGGGCCCTTAGCGACCTTGCCCAAAGCGAAGACCGTCTACCGTGGACGCGCTGAGACCCCCTGCTGGAGCGGTCACCGTCCCATCTGCCAGCCAGCCGGCCGGCCGGCCCTGGGGACGGCCAGGTAGGGGCCGAGCTGCGGTGATGGCCGAACCAGGAAACCCCGGCTTTGTCGGCGACTAGGCAGGCGTGTGAGGGGCGTCACCGCCTCCCTCTCGGGCCTCGGTTGCGCCTGAAAAACAGCGAGACGAGAAGGAGCTGCTTCTCAGGCCTGTCTTCGGTCCCAGATGTTGGAGAGCGATGAACCTGGTCACTTCACACATTTTCCCCGGAAAAAAAAAGTTTTCTTCTGTTGCCTGTCAGACTCACGAATGGGGGGGTGGTGGACGGTATAAAGTATCTCCTCCCACATACGAAGTGCTTCTGGGAGATCAGAGGGGAAACTGAGGAAGGCTTCCGCAGCCACCTGCAGGGGAAGCATCCTCCCCTGAATAAACACACGTGAGGACACGCGTGTCCGAAAGGACAACTAACACAGAAAAGGGAGACTGTCAACAGTAAGTGCCGGTAAGAGTCGTCGTGGGCGTGGAAGGTTCCAGAAAGGCGTCTTCAGAATTTTGCTCTTAAGGGGGACCTTGAACTAGCTGTCACCCACCTAAAGCAGCGACAGGGATGGCTGACGCTGGCGACCCCCCGACCTTCCCCAGGCTGCGTGGCTGCACCTGCCCCGCGGGGTCACCAGCTGGGGGAGGTGCTGGGTGCCCGCCACCGCATAAAGAGAACAGGGAGGAAGCCACGTGGACGATGCAGCCTGGGGGGCTGACGGTGCCGGGGGAGGTAGGGGGGAGACCCAGTCGAACCCAAGAGGCGTGTCGACAGGAGAACCAGCAGATGTGCTCATGGACCAGACAGGCGGTGGGAGGGACAGGGAGGGGGCGGGAACCCCGACGTTCAGGGTCGGAGCATCGGGAAGGACGGGGGTGGGGGCTGGCAGGAGCTGAAGGGAGCGTGGGTGGAGGTGCGAGGGGCGACAGGCGTGAAGTTTGGCTTTGGACGCGTCTGGCTTGCGAGCCAGGGACACCCAAGTGCCGCGCCGAGTAGCAGTCGGACGGGCCGCCGGGAGCTCCCAGAGCGGCGTGGGCCCCTGGCCACACCCGAGGAAGGGCCGCCTGGTGACTCACCGCAGCGGCCCTGGCAGCGGCCGCAGGTGGACGTGGAAGGGCCCGGGCAGCTCCGACCTGGCCTGACCCGGCCCCGCCTGCGGGGTTCGCTGGGGTCCCGGGTCCGGGCGGGCGGCCGGGGCCGGCGTCTGCAGGCTTCCACGAGCTGCCCCGGAAAAGCCGGCATCCGGCTCTGCTCCCGCCCGGGAAACGGCCGGTCCAGGCGGGGCCGGCCCTTCTGGACTCAGGCCTTGCTCTCCTTCCGACGGCCAACGCCTCCGGTGAGGTGTGGCCAGTCCACTGCCGCTGTCATCCCCTTCTCCTGAAGCGCTCTCCCTCCCTCGTGACCCAAGACTCTCTCTCCCCGGCGGGCAGCAGGGTCTTCGCCGTGACCTCAGCCGGTTGTTTGTGGACTTTCTGGGAGCCCCGCACGGCCCTCCCTGTCCGTGCTGACCGGGAAACCCGAGGGCGAGGATGCGGTTTTCGGCATCACGGGGGGAGGCCTCCTGGGAGAGGGGCTGGCTGCCCTTTGAAGACGGTCAGCTGACCGCCCGCCCGCGGCGGGGAGGCCCGCTTGGCTTCTCAGGACCGAGTGTCCCCGTCCCCCTCCCCCACGCTCAGGACGGATCCGGGCAGAGGAGGGGGGTGAGCAGGACGCTGGGCTGGGTGCCCCACGCGACCTTGGGAGGGTGCGGCCGCCTCGGGGGCTGTGCTCCGGGGCTCGGCCTCGGACCGGTCCCTGGCGGGGATGCCGTGTGCCCAGCACGGCCCGCGTGGCCTTGCCCGTGGCAGCCGCGGTGGCTCCTGGTGCACTCCTGGTGCGTGCTGCGGCTCATCTCCGTCAGCGGACGCGGAGCCGTGGCGACCGCTCCTGCCGTCGTCTTAGGACGCTCCCCACCGGGTCAGGGAGGGACAGTGAAGAAACAGCAGGCGGTCCCCTGGGACTTAATTTTTTTCAATTTTTTTCATTATGGTGAAATATGTACAACATAAAACTTGTCATCTCAGCCATATTTAAGGGCACAGTTCGGTGGTCTCCAGTACGTTCATACCGTGCAGCCATGGCCACCACCCTCCGTTTCTGGAACTCCTGCAGAACCGAGACTCTGTGCCCCGTGCACGGTAGCCCCCCCGCTCCCTCGCTCCCCGCCCCTGGCAGCCGCTCTGCCTCCTGCCTCAGTGGTGCCGACTGTTCCAGTGCCTCCCCCGGGAAGGGGAACTGTCCAGGATTTGCCTTGCTGTGCCCGGCTCGTTTCCCTCAGTGTCGTGTTCCAGGGTTCACCCGTGTTGTGGCGTGTGTCGAATTCCCTTTCCAAGGCTGAATAATATTCCCTTACATGCATACGCCGTATGTTGCCGCTAACCCAGTCGTGGGCTGGCGGACAGGCGGCTGGCTTCCATGCGGCAGCTGTTGTGAGTGATGCTGCTGGGAGCGTGAGCTACGACTCTTCAAGACCTCGCTTTCCGTTATTAGGGGTATGAACCGGAAATGGAATTGCTAGGTCAGGTGGTGATTCTGTTTCGTTTTTTTAAGGGACGACCACGCTGGTTTCTACACCCGCTGCTCCATGTTCCCTCCCGCCGACAGTGCACAGGGTTCCGCTTTCTCCACGTTCTCACCAGCGCTTGTCAGGTTGTTTTTTTCTCTTTCTTTTCTTTTAGTCGCCATCCTCATGGGTGTGAGGTGGTGTCTTGTAGTTTTGATTTGCTTATTTGCTTTCCCTGACGAGTGATGTCGAGCATCTTTTTATGGGCTTATCAGCTATGAGTTGTTTGGCTTTTATTGAATTGTAGTTCTTGATATGTTCTCAATATTAATTCCTAATTGGGCATATGATTTGCAAATATTTTCTCCCATTCTGGGGGATGCCTTTGTACTCTCGATAGTGTCTTCTGATGCACAAGATTTTAAAGTTTTCGTGAAGTTGCATTTGTCTGTGTTTGTCTGCTTGCGCCGTTGACGTCATATCCCAGGATTCATTGCCAAGTCCAGTGTCAGGACTCGGTACGTTTTGTGTGTGTGTGTGATTCTCAAGCCTCCGTCTCCCCTCCCCCATCTGTTGGTTTCTTTCTCCCCTTCAATAAAGTCATTAGGCCAACAGATCAATAAAATATTTAGACTTATGACATCTTCCTTCCTGTCGCTGGAAAGTATTCCCAGGAGAGGACAGGCAGGAGCAAAGCAAATCGGAAGTGGGTGCAGGTAACACAGCGGCCTGGAGCAGGAGCTCCGGGGAGGGGCTGGCGGGTGAGGGGTGTGCAGGGGCGGCTGCAGCACGTAGAACCTCACCTGCCACGGGGAACAGACGGATCGAAGGTGGATGCCCGTCCACAGCCAGAGGACCAAGTCGTGGAATGACTACTCACTGTTCTCTCGAACCAGGCACTCAACCTTTCCGAACCTCCGGTCCCCCACTTTATTTATTTAACAAACACTTGTGCAAATACTGACTCACGCATCCCTCCCACCAGCGGAACGGGGCAGGTCCTTCCGAGCAGGCGCGTTCTCCCCACTCCCAAATGCGGAAGCCGGTGCCCAGAGAGGCTAAGGCACGGGTCCAGCTCCCGAGCTGGGAAGGAGCGGAGCCAGGACTTGAACCCAGGCCCCTTGGTTCCTGAGGTCGGGCTCCCCCTGAAGGCGTGCAGAGCAGCGGTTCCCGCCGCTGTCGCTGCCCACAAGGTCGAAGGAGACGCTGTCCGTGGGGCACGTTGCGGGTGGCACGGTGTTTTGCAGACACGGGTGATCGTCCGTGGCAATCAGGCAGCGCCCTGCAAGTGGGTGCCATTCTCAGGGGCGATTCTCAAGGGCGCGGGGAAAGGGGCGGAGCGAGGATGAGCCCTGGGCAGCGTCTGCTGGGGAGCCGGGCTCGTCTCGGAGAGTCGGGTGACAGAGTCGCTGCGGGCGTCCTGGGGGAGCAGTGCCGTCAGCCGCGGGATCCAGACACACATCCGGCCCCCCAGACCTCGGGCTCCTGCTGAGCTCGAGCCGGCGGGCTCCTAGATGCGGGGCCGCCGGGTGCGCACGGGGAGCACGCATGTGGGGAGGGGACCGCAGCCGGTGCGCCCACTGGCCCACCGAGAGCTCAGACGGGGGCCACAGGCCCCTGGGCTCTGCCGCTCGCTCCCCTCCCTTCCTCTGGCGCAGAGAGCTCAGCCCTGCCTGCCGTGTGGATCCGGGACCTTCCCAGTGGGGTCGAGAGCAAAGCCCTCTGTGCTGGCCCGGCCTCCGGGTTGGATGGCTGGGCCGTCCGTCCCGGGGTGGACTTTCGGGGGAGTGCCAGGGAAGGACGGAGGCGGGCAGAGCACGCGAACCCCGGGATCCTGCGGTCCCTTTCTGTGTGGCCCGGTTTGGGGCCGGGGGTCCTCTTCACCTCAGTCACCTTCGTGCAAAACAGGGTGGGCTCTAGAACCTTCTCCCCACCTCCGCCCGTGCCAGCGGGGGGCTGATGGGTATAAAGTGCTCTGAGGGGCTGAGGTGAAGAGCTGCTCCCCCACCCCCAGACCGAGACCAACATAGTGTCACGGCAGCCTCGCCGGGCTCGTTAGGAGTGGGGCCGAGGACCGTCCCCGCCCGCAGGGCTGTTGCTTCCCACCACGTCTGTGCCTCCCCGAGGGCCTTCGAGCGGGGCCTCAAACCCCGGCCCCTCGGCTTCCAGGTCTGTGCGCAGAGCCGCCAGGCCTCCCCGGCTGCAGCACTGCGGCCGGGGAGAACAGGGACTCCTCCCCTTTCAGTGGAGGAAGATCTGAGGGTTCTAAAGGTCGAACTGTGAGGCGGGCCGCGGGAGAAAGAGGACCCACCCGCGTGGTGTTGTGGTGGGGTCTTCTGTCCTGGCGGACCAAGGCATTTCCGGAATTCACCCACTCCTGGGGGTTACCCTGCAAACTGGTTTATAAAACAGCAGATGCCCCCGTCCTCCTGGTTGCCCGGTGCTTCAACCCCGAACGGTTTTGATCTCTCGCTTGAGGTGTGGCTTTGAACTTGAGGGGTGGCTTTGAACTTGAGGGGTGGCTTTGAACGCCTGGAGGCTGTTACCAGTGCTTCTTCGCTCCAGCAGACACTTCTCTCCCTCTGGGTGGGGCCCAGGAGACCACACTGACGCAGGACCGTAAGGACAAGCAGAGGGAGGGTCGGCCTTCCCTGGGACCCGTCTGGGAGGGGAGCATCTCTGATGGCCGTGCATTAAACCCCAGCTGTGCTGCGGCCGCGCTGTTCCTCCACGCTGGAGCACAGGGGGGATTTGTCTGGGCCGGGCAGGGCGCACGCAGTGCGTGTGGGAGTGGAACAACCTTGTGTCTGGCAGCAGAACTGGCCAGGACAGTGGAAATGTGAGTCACACTTGAATTTGCTGCTTTGGATGGGCCCCGGCTCGTCAGGCCCTGGGGGAGCTGGCCGCCTGCCTGGAAGCCTTGGCGGGCCGGGGCATTCCAGACCTCCGCTCTGGCTCTTTAAAGGTACGCCCCCTGAGGGTTTGCTGAGGCTGGTGCCCTCCCCCCCCCCCCCAGGCTCCAGGCAAGGCTGGGGCTGTGGATTTCCCCGGGTGGGCAGGCCTTTGTCCCGCATCGCCCCCTGCCTCTGGGGGATGGGACCAGAGGGCCTTAGGGACTGCAGCCGACCGGCCAGCCCTGGGCTCCCATTCTACAGGTGGCCCATGGGCCTGCTCACGTGGCCCCTGCAGAGTGACCAGGTCAAGGAGGACTTTATCTAAAGTAAAGGTTTGCCTCCCGTTTCTATTCTTTCAGTGGTCACCTTTATAACGTTAACAGTCCTGTTGGACCTCACGGGGACACCGTGCTGAAGGCCAGTCGTCCATCAGCAAGCTGTGCTTGGGTGCCGGGCCCTTGGGCCCAGGTCCCTGCCCCAGGACGACCTCGGGACGCCCGCGCCCCAAGCACACCTCCGAGAGCTTCCGTGTGGCCTCGTGTTTCAATGTCACCCGGCTTCCAAAGCTCCCAGATGCGAGACACGTGTGACGTTTGTTGTCGCTGTGTAACTTTTTCGATTTACATTTTATATATTTTTTTTCCAGTTCTTACTGAGGTTCATGCTAATATTTACCACTTCCTTTTCTAACACTTCTTGATCCGGCCCCCTCCCCCAGCCCGTAGTAATCTCCGGACTCCGCTTCCTTCGTGAATGCCGGTCGTCCGGTGAGGAGTTCCCGGTGCGCGTTTGGGGCCGGCTAGTCTCCAGAGTCTGCCGTGCCCTCCCTCGAGTGCTGCCGCCGGGCTCAGAGCAAGCCGTCTTTCTGCATCTTCTGTATCGTGAACCGATTACCCCAGCGTGTGGCTAGCCCCCAGCCCCTCCCATGGGTCCAAATCAATGTCTTTTATCCATTTTTCTATCTTTTTTCATTCTCTTCCTTCTCATTAGGAATTCTTTTTTTTTTTAATATTTTATTTTTAGAGAGAGAAGGGAGGGAGAAAGAGAGAGAAATATCAATGTGCGGTTGCTGGGGGTCATGGCCTGCAACCCAGACATGTACCCTGACTGGGAATCGAACCTGCGACACTTTGGTTCGCAGCCCGCGCTCAATCGGCTGAGCTATGCCAGCCAGGGCTTCATTAGGAATTCTTTACAAATCAGAGCGACTAGGCCTTTTTCTGCCGTGTGAGTTGTGAGCATTCTCCCTCATGTTGCCGTTTGTCCAAACGCTCAAGTCCCGCGTCCGCGGGCAGCCGCGCTGGCCTCCCTGGTGCGGTGCGAGGAGCCGGCTCCTGCAGGACCGTGGGTCGAGGCCCCGGCGAACGGTTTCCTGGCAGGAGTTCACAAAATCCAGGACCCACGAAATAAAGACAAAACCCCCAGCGGCCTTTTGAAGGCGCAGGCCTGCGGGGCTCATCTGTAAAGCGTATTCACGGCACAGAGCTGGAGGAGCTCAGCGTGTTGCATAACCGAATCAAAATTCAGAATATTTTAGCAGCCTGGGAGCACGGGCCCACATGCCCCGGACACCAGGTTTAGGAGAAATAACGTTCTGTGTTTAGGCCTCACGCATTCCGCTCGTAAGTTCGAGACCGGGGGCGCCTGCCTGCGCAGAAGTTCATGCGTGTGTAAACCTCGGGTTCTCGTGGACCGCACACTGACTCGCCCGTCAGCCCGGCAGGGTGCCCCACTGGCCGACAGAACGTGCGTTCTCAGGGAGTCCGCGCTAGTGGCTGGTTCGGAAGGCGTCTCGGGAGCTGGGAGGTTTTATCCGGAGAAGGGACAGCAGGTCACTCGCGGCGTGTTTCGAGACCACGGGGCGGGGGGGGGGGTGGGCGGGAGGTGAGGCGTGTCTGGTCCTGCCCCAGGGAGCCGGCCTGGGCCCCAGGGGTCAGGCTGCCTCTGGAGGGGACCCTGTTTTAATTAGTGCCGCGGGTGAGGGCCAGGGCTGCTCCCCAACCCGCCAGCTCCCTGCGGCCCGAGGAGTCCGGTGCACGTGTCGGGTTTGGGGGGAAGGTTTCTGGAGAGGAGCAGCATCGGGTGAGCTGGCGGGAGGTGGCGCCGGCGGGAGGCGGCACCGGTGGGAGGCTGCGCCGGTGGGCGGCATTTTCGGCGCCTGGTTCTCCTTGCCTGGCTCGTGCAGGAGCGGTCTCTGCTTTCCTTCCGGCGTCTTCCGGCGGCGAGGAACACGAGCAGGTGGGCTTCTTTGGCTGATGAAAGCGGCAACAGTTTTGGAGAAACATCCATCTGCCGCCTTCCACGTTAACATGCGTCGGGGTGGGGTTCCAGCCGGGACGCCCAGCAGCATGCTGAGCGCCGGAGCCACACCTTGGGGGGATCGGGCTCTGGGGGCCCGGACCTGCAGCTCGCCCCCGGCTCCCCCGGGCGAGGAGTGCGGGGACCTCCAAGTATCCCCCACAGGGGTCCCACTGTCAGACTCGAGTGGGCGCACGAGTCGGAACCACGCAGAGGCTGGTTCTGCCCACCAGAGGGGCGCCCGAGGTGCTGCCCGGCCAGTGGGCAGGGGGCGGGGTTGGGGGGGCAAGGTAGCGGCCGTCGGAGACCCCCCGGAGTGGCCCGGGTCTGAGAGCAGCTGCCCCAGGGTGCGGCCCGTGAACCGCTCGGGACGGAGCCACCGCCTCAGCCTGCCTGTTTCAAATGCAGGTTCCTAGCCTCTGACCTCTGGCCTCAGAGACCAGCATCGGGCCGCGAGCGGGGCCCAAGCGCCAGCCCTTGGAGCTGGCACGGCGGCGGGTGATTCTCTGGTACGCTGGAGGTCTGAGCCGCCGGCCCTGGGGGAATTGTCAGGGCCGTTTAGAACAGAGGGGCGCCTCGTTCAAGGGCCGGGGGGGCCGCACCCGTAGCCGCCTGTGTCCAGCTGGGTGGGGAGGACGGCAGAGGGGCCCTGGGCAAGCCGGGCGGCCTGGGGACCTCCGCTGCTCTCCTGTCCAGGTGACATGACCGCACTCGACGACCCTGCTCCTGCCCCCTGCTCCTCGCCGTCCTTCCCGACGCCCAGCATGCTGCGCCCGCCCCACGCCCAGGCGCGCTGACCATGAGCCTCAACTCCTCGCTGGGCCACCGGAAGGAGCTGAGCAACCTCACGGAGGCAGCGGCGGCCGGCGGGGGCGTCGTGGTGGCCGAGTTCATCGCCATCGTCGCCATCACCATCTTCGTCTGCCTGGGCAACCTGGTCGTCGTGGTGACCCTGTACAAGAAGTCCTACCTCCTCACCCTCAGCAACAAGTTCGTCTTCAGCCTGACCCTGTCCAACTTCCTGCTGTCCCTGCTGGTGCTGCCCTTCGTGGTGACCAGCTCCGTCCGGCGGCGATGGGTCTTCGGGGTGGTCTGGTGCAACTTCTCCGCCCTGCTGTACCTGCTCATCAGCTCGGCCAGCATGCTGACCCTCGGGGTCATCGCCATCGACCGGTGAGCTGGCCGCGCGGCCGGGGGCAGAGGAATCAAGGGCGGTGTGCATGGGGGGCCCCCCGGGGTGGGGGGCTGGCCCCCCAGGGACTGTCCCCCGGGACTGTCCCGCTGTCTCAGTTTCTTGGGAGGGTGTCGGCTCTGCGGGCGGACGGGACGTCCCCGAAGACCCCTGCTTTCGCTCCCGTGCCCCCAGCCAGAGGCCCTTGGCTGTGGCTCATCTGTCTCGCACGAAGTTTTATTTCTGTTTTTATTACACATTTCTTTGCCACCACCTTCTGTTCGGTGCCATGGAACGCAGCCCGGAGCCCTCCCCAGGCCGAGAGAGAGAGAGAGAGAGGGAGAGAGGGAGAGAGGGGCGGGGGGGCTGCAGCCCGGAGAGAGGCCGGCAGTGGGCGGGCATTCGAGCCCAAAGCCCATGTGTCTATAATCTGTGATGTTTGCATGTGTTTACATGTAATTCTGTGTAGTTTTGTGTTTCAAAAGAGGTTCCGTGGCTTAAAGAAAGTTCTGGGGCCCTTCAACTGGCAGCTTGTAGGTGAGGAGCAGGCTGAGGAAGGCAGTGTGTGTCGGGGGGTGGGGTAGACTTGCTGTCTGCTCTCTGTTGCCCCGACCTGGGCCAGAGCTGGGCTGATGGGGGGTGTGTGTGGGGGGACCCAAAGGGGAAACGCTGTCCCCTGTCCACAGCACAGGGACCTCAAGGGTCAGCTCGGTCCAGGAAGGGGCGGGGAAGCAGGGGAGGGAGACGACCCGGGGAATGGAGGCGGTGGCACCGGGAGAGACGGCATGTAACGGTGTGGGATGCCGCCGGTCCGCAGGGGCGCTGCTCGGGCCCCTCGGCCGCCCCCGGCAAGGGCCCCGGGCTCCTGAGTAGCTCAGGCCGTCGAGGGGGCTCTGCAGGCCTCGAGGCTCTGGCGGTGCAGCCCCGCCCTGCAGCTCCAGCTCGCAGGTCGGCCTTGTGCTGCTGGTCACGCCGTTCAGCCCGGGCGAGGGTGCGCTCCCTGGGGGCAGCGGGGGGAGATCCGGGTTCAGTGCCACTTGCAGAACCTGGGGGGACGCTGGCAGGGAGACTTAGAGGGGACGAGCCAGTGATGTTGTCACTGAAGGACCCAAATTTCCAGGTTCTCTTGGGACCACCGGGGCTTTAGCCGGACTGTCCACCCAGGGCCCAAGGCCACACCCCTGCCGGCTGTCCGCAGTGCAGAGGGCTCGGAGTGGAGGACGCGGGTCACTGCCCAGCGGGGCGGGTGGAACTCCAGAACGCGGACCCAGGGCTGGTTAGTTACAGAGGAGGACCCGGGTTCGGTGTGTCGCTGTGCTCCCGGGGCCGCCCCCGTGGGTGGAGGCTGGCTCTCTGTCGGCGAGCCGTCCCGTGAAAACCAAAGTCGGGGCCGCGGGGGTGGGCGGCCGGGCGAAGCGGGGGAGCCCGTGCACGCGTGACGGCTTTTTCCTGACATCAGGGAAGCCCCTTTGGGGCCCGAGGGTCGTGCTCGGGCCCCGTCTAAAAGCGAGCTGCTGGGGAACACATGGACACCTTCAGGGGACAGTCGGGGCAGGAAGCCAAGGGACCCCCTTGATTTCGGCCCCCCGTTCCCCTGCGTGAGGGGCAGAGAGACTCCGCAGCGAGGCCTGCGTGAGGCTTAAATGTGAAGCGTGAAGTTTCGAATCCGTGAAGTCCACTTTCTGTGGGCGGGTGAGGAAATGCTTGCTTTCTGCCGTGATGGGGGTGTGGGTCTGTGCACTTCAGCGGGCGGGCGTCCTACCCCGCACACCCCTCTAAGACCAGCGTGGACCCCACCCCCCCAGGGGTGTGGGCCAACACGGGCCACGCTCTGGCCTGCCTGGCGGGCTCCCTCGGGCGGGCGGGCCCCGGGACCCGGATGCAGCTGGGAGACATCACTGTCAAGTCCGCTGGGCTGGCTCACCCCAGAACGCTTGTCGGCCAGTGGCATAAACACCATTCGTTACAGTAAAGCAGCCTTGCCATAAAACGGCGGCAGTCAGGGGGTCTTGAGACGAGCCAGAGGCCACGTGGCAGCAGATAGCTTATCCATCGTGATTCCTTCACGACCGCCGGGCAGGGCTGGTCCCAGGAGAAAGGGTCGGCCGGAGTGGGCCGGCCTGGGCTTCCGCCCCACCCTGCTGCCACCCTGAGGTGCCTGAGGCCAGGCGCCCGCCCCTCCTGGCCCCGGGCAGAGGGAGTGGACAGCAGCCTTGGTTCTCCTTGGAAGTGAAGGACGCCTTCCCAGACGTGCCCCCCACCAGCATCCCTCACGTTTCATTAGTCGGGATGCTGTCACACAGGCCGGTGTCTTCACCGGTCGCCTGGCAAGGTGACCAGCAGCATGGCCTGATTCGACCTCCAGGCCTCAGACAGGCCGGTGTCCCCCGAGGTCACGGCGGTTTTGCAGGAGCACGGACAAGAGGGGGTCCCGTCCTCAAGGAGGAAGGGGAGCGGAGGGTGGCCTGGAAAAGCCCGCGGCCATGCACACCGCGGCCGTGTGCAGGGTGGCGCAGGGCGGGCCTGCCCCTCGCTGGCCCGACCGCCCTTGGGGCTGACCCCTGGCAGAGGCCCCGGGGCCGTGTGTCCCAGACGGAGGAACAGGGGCCCAGAGCGGGCACAGCGGCTCCCCCAGGTCCCGCCGCCCACAGACGGCAGGTCGCGCCCCTCGCGGGGGAAGCCCTCTTGGCTGTCCGCCTTCCCCCTGGGTGGGCTGTCCGGGTGCCCCTCCTGGCGTGTCTCCCTGGGCCGACGCCCCCCTCTGTCCTGCTCCAGCTACTACGCCGTCCTGTACCCCATGGTGTACCCCACGAAGATCACGGGGAACCGCGCCGTGCTGGTGCTCGTGTACATCTGGCTTCACTCGCTGGTCGGCTGCCTGCCGCCCCTGTTTGGCTGGTCGTCGGTGGAGTTTGACGAGTTCAAGTGGATGTGCGTGGCCGCCTGGCACCGGGAGCCCGGCTACACGGCCTTCTGGCAGATCTGGTGCGCCCTGTTCCCCTTCCTGGTCATGCTCGTGTGCTACGGCTTCATCTTCCGCGTGGCCAGGGTCAAGGCCCGCAAGGTGCACTGCGGCGCCGTGGTCGTGGCGGAGGGCGACGCCCAGCGGCCCGGGCGGAAGAACTCCAGCACCTCCACCTCCTCCTCGGGCAGCCGCCGGACCGCCCTCCAGGGCGTCGTGTACTCGGCCAACCAGTGCAAAGCCCTCGTCACCATCCTGGTGGTCATCGGGGCCTTCATGGCCACCTGGGGCCCCTACCTGGGCGTCATCACCTCGGAGGCCCTGTGGGGCGAGCACTGCGTCTCCCCGAGCCTGGAGACCTGGGCCACGTGGCTGAGCTTCACCAGCGCCGCCTGCCACCCGCTCATCTACGGGCTGTGGAACAAGACCGTGCGCAAGGAGCTGCTGGGCCTGTGCTTCGGGGACCGGTACTACCGGGAGCCCTTCGTCCAGCGGCAGAGGACGTCCCGGCTGTTCAGCATCTCCAACAGGATCACAGGTAGCGTGGGCGCCTGTCGGGGGCGGGGGGTGGGGAGGGACGCCCCCCCACGGCCGGGGTAGCCCTCGGTCCCCTCGGCCGTGTGCGCAGGGTGAGGGCGGAGGTCTCACACCGACTGCGGCCTCCAGGCGCAGCGCACAGGTGTCCTTTGGGGGTGTCCCGGAGGGGTCCCCCGTGGTTCCCGAGGCTTCTCCGAGGAGTGGGAGGCAGGGGACGCCAGCGCTCGGGCGTCAGTTTTCTCTGGCCCCGTCCGTGGCCCGCTCAAGGCTCTAGTCCCTTCCGTCTGGGAGAACAGAACCCGAGCGTCGGACCAGCCGCCTTCGCCGGCCAGCCCTGTCCCCCTGACGTTCTCAGAGCAGAGCCCCCGCCCCGTCCCGCCCCCCCGCACCTCAGGGCTCACCCCTGCACATGCTCGTCCTTGGGCCCTTCGTCCCGGGTCACTGGTGTCCTTGATTGTCCCTCGTAACTCGGGACACGTCAGAGCCAAGCTTCAGCCTTCCCCCCTCCCCCCCCACGCGGAAATGTCACCGCCGTGTGCACACGTGACACTCCCCTCCCCTGGATAATCGGTTCGGAACCAACAAGGTTCTGGGGCCTCCCGTCACCTTGGAGGAGACCCAAAGGAGTTGCCTAAGGAATCTGAGGCCCGGGCAGGAGTTGGAGTGACGGAATCCTGTGCTCTGAGCATCTCTTAGACAACGGACGGACGTCGATTTTCCTGCCGTTGGGAGGCTGGGAGTCGGAGACCCGCGTGCTGGGCACGAGGGTGCTGGCGAGCGTCTCTTCCTGCCTGTCCCCTTGCTGGGTCCTCACGTGGGGGCGGGGGTGGGGCAGAGCAAGCTCTCTGCCGTCTTCGTACCCGCCCTCCTGACCTCCTCCGCTCCCCTCCCACGGTCCCCAGCTCCAGATCCCGCCGCACGGGTGGTTGGGGTGGGAGGCACTCTGGGTCTGTGCCGTTGAGTCAGGTCTCCCAGGCTTCTCCACGGCCGGGTCACTGTTGCTCGGGCTGCAGTTACTCAGGGCGACAGAGCGGCCGCTTCTAGGCTGTTCCGGAACATCCCGTTTCTCCTTCAGCCGCCACCCGCTGTTCGTGGCGCGCACGGTGGATCTTGCCGCCGGCGGTTACTGCCACGTGGACCCAGGGGAGCAGCCGCGGGATTTCCAGGGTCACGTCAGAGGGGCCCATCACCTGGACGCGCTGTCGGGAGAGCGGCGTTAAGGGCGCTTGTCGGATCCTTCCAGGAGGAACCCGTTCGGCCGCGGGTCTCCCCTCGGGCTGACGTTTCCTCTTCCGGAAAGGGAGGGTCGCCCCCTCCCCTCTCAGGAGGGTGCAGAGCGGGAATTATCCGAATCATCCCCAACGCTCAGGGAGAGTGAGGGGAAGCGGGTAGACGGAACAGAAAGGCGTGTCTGCTCTCCGGGCCAGGAGCGCCCGTGCCAGTGGCCGGGCTCACCCTGGAGCAGCCCGTGAGGCTTTGGGGGCGGGCGGACGGCACCAGCTGAGGCTGGGCGGGCGAGGTCAAGGCAGCGGGCGGTCTCCGACTCACTGAGCGAAAAGCCGGCTTGTGGGCTGATTTGGGGTTGGAGAGTGTGTGGGGTGAAGCGGCTGGCCTTCTGCAGGGATGGGGGCCCTGCTGTCTCGTCCCTGGGGGTTCTCGGGGTGGGGGGGGGACAGCAGCATGCAGCTCCCACCGCCTGTGCAGCTTGGCCTCCACTCCCCTCTCCGGTCCCTCTGGCCCAGCCAAAGCGCGGCAGACCCTGGTCTAGCGCCCTCTGTAGGCACGGCTTAGAAGTGCAGGAGACTCCTCTACCCCTGTCCCAAGCCTGCCCTGGGCCCCCCCTGCCCCCCCGGAGAGTGCACGTCCTCTGGTGGTCGTCCAGGGCCCAGAAGGGCGGTAAGATCCATTTCAAAGCCAGCAAGAAAGGACCGGGAGGCCCTGCCTTGCCTTCAGGCCTCTCCACCTGCATGGGCACCTGCAAAGCCGTGGCCCAAGGAATCAGGACACGGAGTGACCATCTTTCCAGACGGGGCCTGGGCGCCGAGGCAGAGGGGAATTCCAGAAACGCCTGGAGCTCCCCCGCTGACCCCAGGAGGCCGGGAGTCTTACAAACACACTGTCGTGTTCGTTTCAGACGCAGATTTCAGCCACAGTCAGGGGATTTGGGTTTCCTCGTTCTGTCAGCCCCCAAAGAAGTGCCAAAGGTTAGGTTCCCCGGGGTGCCAGCTGTCCCCAGGGCCACTGAAGTCCCTTCTGCTTGTGCGGTCTGGTCAGCAGACTCCCACGGGCCCCCCTGGGGACCTGGAGCGGGGCCCGGACACCAGGGGAGGGCAGTCTCTGCGAAAGCCGCTTGCCTGACGTTGGAAGCTCCTGGAATGGGGTGGAGCCTTTGTCTCCGGGGGCAGGGACCCTGACTCGCATCCACTCAGGGGCCCTGCTGTGCCCCTGGGCCGGCTGCGAAGGGGCTGGGGCTGGAGCCTTTGGACTTTCCCGCCTTGCTCCCCCGAGTCCCTTCCCTGGGGGCCCCAGGAGGTCACCCGCCCTGGATGGAATGAGGCCCCTAATGTTCTAGTCTCCGGCGCTCCTGGGGACCCTTCTAGCCGCCCCGGGCTCGGATCCCTGCGGCCTGGCCTGGCCTGTTGCTTCGTGCCTTAAAAAAAAAAAAAGAAAACAAACCCCTTTGTACCAGGGGTCGGATAGGTTATCTCAGGTGAAAAGCCGCAGGGTCGCTGCGCCCACTCCAGCGGTAAGTGACGGGAGACACGGAGCTGCGAGGCCACCTGGCCGCGTGGTCTGGGACCGCCCGGCCGAGCCACACTGGGCTGGCTGCCACGCTCCCTCCCGCTGGTGCAGACCAGGGCTCGTCCTGGCCGTTGCCGCAGCCTCAGAGTCGGCGTCCAAACCCACTGCGGCCTCAGCGTGCCCAGCTGGCGGGGCTCGGTCCCCGCCGGCTCCTTCCCAGGCCCGGCTCCCTGCTGGGACACCGGCCCATTCTGGGCCCGAGCCCCTGGAGGGGGTGGTCATGCGGGGTCTTCTCCCGTCCCAGCCGACCACACCCACAGCCCCGGGCAAGAGGGCAGTTCCCAAGCGACTTGAAGGGGAAGGCCTCGAGGGGCCTGCCCTTCCCTCCGCCACTGTGGCGCCCGCCCCCCTTGACTCCAGAGAACAGGGGCGAGGGTAGGGCCGTCACTGGACCCTCGGGAACACCAGTGTGAAAGTACAGGCCAGTGTGCCCCCCTCTCTGTGAGAGCTCTGCGGGGTCAGCTGCCGGGACGCAGGCCCCCTCGGGAGAGGGGACAGGGACTTCCGATCCCAGACTCCTCCTTCCAGGGGCGCCCCTGGGGTCCCCCCTCGCTCTGCACGGCCCCTCCGGCTCACTGTTCTCTCAGCGTCCCGTGGACGCCCTGCACAGACTCCTCTGAGGTCCCTTTTTTCTTCCTTCCTTTTCTATTCCTCTGTCTTTCAAGCGGCACCTTTCCTCAGGCGCCCGGTGGTCTGGGCCATCCCTTGGTCCTACATAACGAGGCCCCGGGCAGGCGGCCCGTTGGCCGGAGGGTGTCCGGCTTCAGCGTCCGCGGGGACTGGCTCCCCCGTCCCCGAGGCCAGGCCTCCTGTTCCCTTCCCTCCACTCTCCCCCCAACACCAGGGATCCGCTGCTCCCTGCGAAGACTTGCTGTCCAGCCCCATCTGCCTGCACAGCCTGCGGCCCCTCCTTCCTGAGCTTCGGGGCCCAGGGCGAGGACCGGCCTCCCCCGTCCCCCCACCGCCCATGCCAGCTCCCCCCGCTGACAGCCCTTCTCTCCCACTCGGGGGTCAAACTTCCTGTAAGACACTCCCTGTTGGCACTCGAGCGGGATTTCAGGAGGTCCCCGTGGCCACCCACGGTCCCCGGGGAACTGGGGATTCGCCCAGGACCGTTCACCGGTTTTCTCTCCGGCCAGCCTCGCTGGTGTGGTGTTGCCAAGGGAGGGCCCCCCTGGGGGACCCGTCCACCGTGTCACAGACGTCCACTGCGTCACAATGCAGACTGCCCTGGGCCCGGGGCGGGAGCACAGCAGGGAAGGCGGCCGCCGAGGGCGCCCTGCCTGTCGATGGGCTGAGCGCGCTTCCGGCAGGGAGGGCAGGGGAGGGGCCCGGCCGCGTGGGGCGGCCGCGTGGCGAGTCCAGTCAGCGCTGACTTTGCCTTTCAGACCTGGGCCTGTCCCCACACCTCACGGCACTGATGGCCGGCGGCCAGCCCCTGGGGAACAGCAGCAGCACGGGGGACACCGGCTTCAGCTGCTCTCAGGACTCAGGTAAGCCTCGGGCAGGTGCGCCTGCCCCGCCCTGTGTCCCTGGCGCGGGGGTAGGCGCAGGTGGCGGGCCCCTGCCGTGCTGCGCGGAAGGAGCGTGGGGGCTGGAGTTGGGAGGGTCCTTCTGTGCCTCAGTTTCCTCCTGTGTGAAATAGGGACCTCGGTTCCGTTCCCTGGGACGCACGAGGTCGTTACGAGGTTCAAATTAAGCGGGAGCCTTTGGGGAGTAGTGACTCCTCAGTGACTCCTCCGCCAGGGCCTGTGGGCGGGTTACGTGGCCGGGCCCCGGAGTCCGGCCCCTTACGAGCCGCGTCGTCCTAGGCAAGTGCCTCTTCTCCTCCTAAACCTCCGCGTCTCCGCATTTTTGCGTCAGGGGAAGCGGTCGCGGTGTCAGGGGTAGCCCCAGCGAGGTCCCCTCCCTGTCACCGTTACGATGTGCCCTGCGACCCGTCCCCTGGGAGAGACACATCTCTGCCACAAAGCCTCCAACGCCTCGAGGAAGACCATGCACCCCAGGGCTCCCCGAGGCCAGGGTCTCTCCCGGCTGCCCATGGGGAGCTGGGTGCCACCTCCGTGCCCGCCCGCCATGCGTGTTGTGGGGCCCTCAGGAGACCCCAGGTGGGGGCGAGAGGGCAGAGGCTGGCAGAGTCTCCACCGGCCATCCGTGGCTCCATGTGGCTGGAGCAACGCCAGATGTCACCGGCCTAGGGCTCTGGCGTGAAGGGAGCCGCGTGGAGTCCCGGATCACGAAGCACCAGGCTGGGCAGTGGGCGCTTTGCTCTGGGCCCCTGTCGCCGCCGCTGGCAGCTTTAGAAAAACCTCCTTGGCCTTGACCTGTGTTTCTTCGCCTGAGCCTGTGTCGTGGCGATCTGGGGGCAGGCCTTCTGCCCCGGAATTCTCCCTGGGAACGTTCCCTCGCCCGGCAACATGCGGGGCTGACCCACCGGTCACGCCATCCCCTGCAGCCTCCAGCCCCTCGTGAGATGTGAAGGAAGGGAGGGGTCTCTGTCACTCAACGGGTCATTACCCCACTCCCAGACAACCCGCAGGGGTCCAGAGACACTGTGACATTCACTCATTCAACAAATATTCGCCAAGCCCCTGCTCTGACCGGACGTCACTGGGCTGGGTCCCAGGGACACAGCGGTGAACTGCCCTCCTGGGACTTGAAGTAACTCTGGTGGGGAGACAGGCACCTCGCACCCTCAGAATGGGTGAGTGGTGCGGGATGGGAACGACACCCCAATAATCCTGCTCTTCAAAGACTGTGGGAGACTCCCGGGCAAGATGGCGGAGTGGGAAACCACTGTTCTCGCCCCCTCCCGCGACCACGTGAAAATTACTACTGGATCATAGAACACGCATCGTCAGCAGCCATCTGAAGACAGTGGAACAGAACTCCTGCCATTAAGGATAGAAAGAAGAAGCCACCTCACCACTGGTAGGAGGGACCGAGCCCCCACACGGGAGGGTCTCACACCCTCGTGGAGCGACTGGGAATCAGGAGGGGCATGGAGACTGCCCAGGAGCCTCCGCCCCACCCGGGCCCTCGCTCAGAGCACCAGTGCCAGGAGGGGGGGTCCCCGCAGCACCAGGCTGTAGAAATCACCGGGGACTCCGTTCGGGTGAGACGGAAGGCCGCTGCAGGCCCAGGCACCCTCTTCGAGGGCTGAGCTCACAGCCCTCACCCTGAGCTCCAGCGGGGGGACAGCAGCCCAAAAAGCACCAGGGACATACCGGGAGGAACTGAACTGTCTGGCTTCAGGGTGGGGGCCGGAGGGGCGGCTCTCCCTGGGACAGCAGTGCTGGCAGCCGCCATTGCTCCACTGTGGGGCCCTCCCCCACACCCAGCCTACAGGCACGGGCACCAAGTCGGCGTCCCCATCAACTGGCTCACACCTCTTACCCCACCCGGGCGGCTCCCTGAGGCCCCATCTCCCACCATCATGTGTGTCAGCCGAACCTCCTTCAGTGGCTTCACAAGTGGCCAGCCTCTGCCCGTGCTACAGGCTTTTCTAAAACCTCCCCAAGGTCCACAACCCCCCCCCCCCCAAAGCAGCATCTGGCCTGCATGTGGCCTGCCCCTCTCTCTTGCGAAGCGGCCCCCAGCCCAGCAGGAGTGGCCGCCAGCCTCAGGTCACAGCAGAGCCGTCCCCAGTGCCTCCATTCCCAGCACAGGCAACGTCCAACTGCAGGTCACTCCGCGGCTCCTGCCAGGCGGCCCCAGAGTGAGCCACCTGGGCCCCAGGCCAGGCACAGACAGGCACAGGCAGCCCCTGACCTTGGCCTGCTCTGAAGTCCTCCCAAGAAGAGGCGCCAAAGCCAGCCAGCACACCCAGTGGTCAGCTTCTGACCACACCAGAGCACCCCTAGCCGGCTCCACAGACAGCACAGCCAGAGGGTGGACTCAGCTGGGGCCTGGGGCCCACTCCAGTGAGGAGTTCCGCGCATGGGGTCCGCCCTGCACACCATGTTGCCCATCCACTGTGGTCACGGCCAGACACCTGAGGACCCTCCCACCCACCGACTGCCTGCAGCAGTCAGGCTCAACTGCCACAGGAGGGCGCACGCAGCACACACACGGGACACCCACGGAGCACCCGGCTCTGGTGACCAGGGCGCTGCACCGCTGGGCCTCGCAGGACACCTCTACATAAGGGCCCCTGTGAAGACCGGGAGAGGAAGCAGCTCTACCTAATACACAGAAACAAGCGCAGGGAGTCAGCCAGAACGAGGAGACGAATAATTATGTCCCACAAGAAAGAACAGGAGGAAACTTCAGAGGAGGAACTGGGTGAAATGGAGGCCAACAACCCGGCAGGTGCAGAGGCCAAGACACTGGATGTAAAGATGCTCAGGGACTTAGGGAGAGGACGGACGGACTCAGCGGGGACCTGCACGAGACAGAAACCACACAAAGGCGCCGGTCGGGGACGACGAACACGGTCTCGGAAATGAGGAGTGCCCCCGAGGGAGTCAGCGGGAGATGCGACGAAGCAAAGGGTCGGATCAGCGCTTTGCAAGGCAAGGCAGGCAGCGGAAAGCACCTACTCAGAGCAGCAGAAAGGAAAGCACCTACTCAGAGCAGCAGAAAGGAAAAGGAGCTTGAACAAGCGAGGACAGCGGAAGGGGCCTCTGGGACCACACCAGGTGTAACGGCACTTGCATCACAGGTGTGCCGGAAGCAGAGGTCAGGGGCCGAAATCTGTCCGATGACGTGAGGACTGGAAGCGCTCCCAGCCTCGTGCAGGAGACAGACACCCAGGTCCAGGACGAGCCGAGAGTCCCAGACAAGATGCAGCCATGGGGACCCACCCGGGACACCTCATAGTTAAAATGGCCAAGGCTGGAAACAAGGTATCGTAAAAGCAGCGAGAGAAAAGCAGTTAGTTACCCCCAAGGGAGCTCCCCGAACACCTCCAGCTGATTTCTCAGCGGAAACGTTTCCGGCCAGAGGGACAGGCGTGCGGAATATTCACAGTGATGAAAAGCAAGGACCTACCACCGAGATGGCTCCACCCAGCGAAGCTGTCATTTGGAACGGAAGGGCAGACAAAGACCTTCCCAGACAAGAAAAGGCTAAAGGATTTATTTCATCACCATCAAACCAATATTAAAAGAAATGTTAAAGGGACCTCTCTAAGCAAAAGAAGAAAAAACATATCTAAAGTACGAATAATAAGCCCTGGCTGGTGTGGCTCAGTGGATTGAGCACCGGTCTGCGAACCGAAAGGTTGGATTCCCCGTCAGGGCACACACCTGTGTTTCAGGCCAGGCCCCAATGCGGGGTGGCGGGGGGGGGGCATGTGAGAGGCACTAAATATTGATGTTTCTCTCCCTCTCTTGCTCCCTCCCTTCCCCCTCTCTAAAAATAGATGAAAATTTTAAAAAATAAAATATGAATAATAAAATGGCAATAATTACATTAGTTATCCATAATTACTTTAAATGTAAATGGATTACACCACATACAATAACAAATGCAAAATGGATTGAAGACTTAATGCAAGGCCCGGAACCAAAAATCTGCTAGAAGAAAAGAAAATAGGCCGCAAATGCTGTGGTATGCCCGTAATAATATTTTCTGGATCTACCTCCTCCAGCAAGGGAAACAAACGGAAAAATAAACAAATGGGACTACATTAAACTAAAAAGTTCTTGCACAGCAAAGGGAACCATTCACACAATGAAAAGACAACCAGGCACATGGAAGAAGATATTCACCCCTAATACACATGGCAGAGGGTTACTATGCAAAGTATGCAAGGAACTTATATAACCAAAAAAACCCACACACAAAATTTTAATTGAAAAATGGGCAGAAGACCTGAATAGACGCTTCTCCGAAGAGGAACTGCCGCCGGCCCACAGACAGGCGAAAAGGCGTTCAGCATCGCTAATCGTCAGTGGGATGCAAACCAAAACCACGAGGAGATAACCCCCCACACCTGTCAGAATGGCCATCGGTAAACCAGCGAACAACAAGTGCTGGTGAGGACGTGGAGGAAAGGGGACCCTTGTGCACGTTGGTGGGGTTATAAATTGGAGCAGCCGCCGTGGAAAACCAGTGTGGAGAGTTCTCAGAAGTTAAAGGTGGAGCCGCCATATGATCCAGCGATCCCACTTCTGGGTATGTTTCCAAAACACACCCAGACAAACGCCAAAGCAGAAACACCGACTGGACAAGATACAGGCTCCCCCATGCTCCCTGCGGCGTCGTGTACAACGGCCAGGCGTGGAAGCAGCCCGAGTGTCCCCCGATGGCCGATCGGGGAAACGCATGGTGCATCTGGACCACGCGTATGACTCAGCCATAAAAAAGAGTGAAATCTCACTGTTTGCAACGACAGGCGCGGACCCGGAGGGCGTTGCGCTAAGTGGAGTAAGTCAGGCAGAGGAGGACACGTACCATACGACTCCGCCTGTGTGTGGAATCTAACACCGAACACACACACACACAGACTCACACAGACGGAGGTCACACTGGAGGCCGCCGGACGGGACAAGGGGCTGGGCCGGGCGAAAACGGGGAAGGGATTGAGCAGCACACACCGGCGGTCACCGTCGCGGGGCCGCGGCAGGCAGCGTGGGGAGTACAGTCGGTAATGCTGTAACAGCCGTATGGGCGCCAGACTTGCCGGGGGACCGACCACCCCGTGAGGTCCACACGCATGTAACCGCGATGCTGTACACGACAAACTAATACATTTTATTGAACGTCAACTGTAATGGAAAGAAAAAATGTTTAGTGTTTCTTTACTCAGTGCCACACATTTTCACCACCATGACAGAAATTCAAACTGTAAGAGGAATCCCTCAAAACACACAGCTCTTTCTTTCTCTGGGCCCCCTCCTCCACGCAGCCCTCCTCCCCTCCCCCGGGCCAGGTCTGGCCCACCGGACACTCCGCGGGCGCCCTCGGTGGCTCAGAGCCCACCCCTCCGCGTGCGTAACAACACGGCTGCCTCTTTGTGTGTCTGAAGCAGCCCCGACGCTGGCGGCACCCTCCTCGGAGGACGACGACACAGTGTTGGTTTCCTGGGCACCTGCTGCAGGGCAGCTCGGTGCACTTGGCCGTGGGCGGGCACCCGTGGGAGAGCGCGATCCCGGGCGGGTGCGAGGGCGCAGCCGCTGGCCCTCCGTGCCCACGCCGACCTTGGCTCTAGGGACGGATGTGATGCTGCTGGAGGACTGCGTGTCTGAGGACCAGCCCCCCGCCCACTGCACGTGCCCCCCCAAGAGGAGGAGCTCCGTGACCTTCGAGGATGAAGTGGAGCAGATCAAAGGTCAGTCTGGGTAGGGGAAGGGAAGGGCAGGGTCTCCGCCCGATCCCTGGCTCCTCCCCGTCCGGCCCCAGCACACCAGGGCCGCGCCTCCGCCCACCCGCAGGGTCCTCCTCCCTCGAGTCCTCGGCCTCCCAGCCGACCGACCAGGCGGCCGCCAGACGGGGCGGGCCAGGGCCGCCGGACTCCACGCAGGCACACGTGTCCTCAGACCGGCTCTGTCCGCCCCAGAGTGAGTGGCAGGGTGGGGGCAGGCCACACCCCTCCCGTCTTCTCGTCATGGTGGTCGTCTGACCCTCGTCCTTGGGGGGGGTGAGGGTGAAGGTCGGGGGGCGCCCCGGCCTTCAGCGTGACTTCCGACCCTGAGGCCGTCCAGGACTTTGGGGACCTGAGGCGTTGCAGAGTGGACAGAGAGCCCCGGGGCCTGAGGCGGTTTGGAGAGAACTCCCCCAAAGACGCAGCGTTTGGGTGTCGTCGGTAGGAGGTGTCTCCCGCCCTTCGCCGTGAGCCAGACCCGGGCCTCCTGGGAGGAGCGGTCTGATGGTCACGGGGAACCTGTGCAGGGAGGGGTGTGCGCTGGGGCCGCCTCCCAGCGGGGAAACTGAGGCCGGGTGCAGCCCCGCTGAGATTTCACGGGCCATGAGGAGGGCAGTCAAGGATGCTGGCCGAGGGGCTCCGACTTGCCAGCCCTCGCCCCTCAGCTGGGCCCGCCTCCCCTCCTGGGCAGGGGGGCGGCAGCGGGCACGTCCCAGGACGGGCACGCACGTGCCGCCGGTCCCTTGCTCACCCTCTCCCCTCCTCCCCCCCAGAAGCTGCCCGGAATCCGGTCCTCCACGTGAAAGCCGATGTGCACAAGTCCCTGGACAGCTACGCAGACAGCCTGGCCAAAGCCATAGAGGCCGAAGCCAAGGTCAACCTGTTCGGAGAGGAGGCTCTGCCCGGGGTCTTGCTGGTGGCCAGGACTGTCCCCGGGGCCGGCTTCGGGGGCCGCCAGGGCAGCCGAGTGCCCGTGAGTCAGCGGCACCAGCTGCAGAGCATCGAGGAAGGGAACATTCTCACCTCGAAACAGAAGTGAGGGCCTCGGGGTGGCCTGTCCCCCGAGACGGGCGCCCGCGGCCGGCCCACCGAGCTGGGGCCTGGGAGCACGGGGCAGGTGCCTGAAAACACGAAAACGGTGTCCATGGCTAGAGACTTCAGGGTCAGTGGGAGCCCCCACGTGGGCTTCCTGCAGACCCCGTGACGGGACCAAAAGCAGAAAAAGCACAAAGAAAAGCAGACGGAGGTGTGGCCGTGCCTTTCTGGGCGGTGGGGCGTGGAGGGGGTGCTGGAGACCGGGCTGGGAGTGGGGAGGAAGCACCAGGTAGGTCCTGTTCTCCTGGTCTCGGCCTGCATCCTGATGCCCACGCACTGACCCAGGGACAGAGGCTCGGGAGGTGAGCCCTTCCCAGGGCACCCAGGCTTCTGCGGGGTCCCTAGAGGAGAGCCCAGCCGCAGAGACCCCCGCATCCAGTTCCCACGCCTCAGCGCTGGTTGTGACCTCGCCTCGGTGGAGCCACCTGCTGGTGGTCCTGGGCAGTCACAGGCTCCTCCCTACTTGCTGATTCTTGGCTCTTTCAAAAGAAGGGAGAAACCACTATCAAAGACGGGAGGAAGGAGCAGGTACCAGGTGCTTCCTTTCCAGAATTTAAAAAAGAAAATGTATTTGGTTAGGACACACCACGGACTTATCACACCTGGACAGGCTGCTGTGCCAGCTGGTCAGGAGGTGGAGACGCCGCTGTCTTAGAGGAGCCCCTTTTCCTCGGAAGACCTCGTCCCAGGGACTCGGTGCGTGATGCGTGATTGACAGGAGAGAAGGCAGAACAGCAGCCCTGCTGGGCCTGGAGCCACCACCTGAGCTCCCGGCCGGCTCCGCCCCTTCTTACTGCCTCTCTGGGCGGGGAGATGGGACGTGGGAGTGGGGCATCAGATTGAATGGTCTCCAAGGGCATTTTCGACTGTGACCTTTGGCGTCCTTTGTCAGGTAGAGATAGGGGTGTGGGTGGGGACCCACAGACCAACATTGCACGGCTTCCGAGTGTGGCTTCTAAGGTGCGTTGAGCAGCTACGGGCCCAGCTGTGCGGACTGCCCGGCTGGTCTGTTCAGTCGCCGCCCTCCAGGACGCCACCGTGTGGGAAGAGACGCCCCCTCCCAGGTGGAGTGCATCCGTGGGCTTAGACCTCTGCCCCCTGCCCTCGGAGCTGGGACAGCAGTGGGTGGGGCCTGGACCGCTGGCCAAGTGACGCGGGGAAACCGCCTGCACTGGCCCCACCGCCCGGGCGACCGAGTGAGCCCAGGGCAGCGCCTGCCCGGCCCCCGAGGCCCAGGCTGGTCAGCAGAGGGCACCGGCTGCGTGCGCCCGGCAGCTGCTCCCGAGTGTGGCGTGCTTGTCCGGGCCAGCCAGCTCCCGGAGAGGCGGCGGCTTTTTTGCCGAGTAAGCGCAGGGGCTGGCCGGCCCCGGGTCTGCAGTGTGCAAAGACCTTGGTCGAGACCTGGGGGCTTGCCACCTTCACGGTGGTCGGGCTCCCTGACGACGTCTCGGGGCCAGCCAGGCGCCAGGCGCTGGGCAGGCTCCGGGTGGGAGGGGGAAGGGGCAGAGGTGGTTCACTGGCAGGGGCTGCTCCGTCGGGGGCGTTTTACACTGCCTCTGTGTGCATGTCCCCTGCACTTGTGTAGGTCTATTATGAAGGGAGCCTATTCCCGCTCAGCTGGCGCGTGTGGGGTGGGGCCGGGGGAGGCCTCCGCCTGCACCCCGCGGTGGGAGTGACCCGGGGCACCAGGAGGCCTTCCTGAGGGCGGCCAGGGGGCTGGGAAGCCCAGGAAGGGAGAAGGCATGCCCCGGGCTGGGCTGGGCTGAGTTCTAGGAAGGGTCCTGAGACCCCAGGTCCCCACAGGTGTGGCTCAGACGGGCTGGGACCTATAGATCAGGTCCGAGCTTATCTAGAAGGACCGCACCTGCCAGAGGACTCGCTGCCTCCTTTCCTCCCGCTGAGGTCTGCCCACCCACTCGCCCGTCAGCCCCTGCGCCCGGCCGGCCTGTGAGCCATGACCGGACGTGTGTCCACTTCATTCAGGGGGAGACCGGGGACACTGATGCTGTGAATGGCCAAGTCGAATCCGAGGACACACAGGACTGTGGGCTGCAGGGGAGGGGACTGCCTCCAGCTGGGGGCGCGGTGAGAGGGGTAGCTCCACGGAGGTGGCGGTTCAAGCCAAGCCTGGGAGGGTGTCTGGCAGCGAGAACCACGTTTTGCATCACTGGGAACTCAGAGTGTCCAGTTCCGTCTGGGAGGGGGAGAGAGGGAGGGAGGAAGGAAGCAGCAGGTGCATGGGGGAGGGGTGGGGCCGATCGCACACGTTCTGGAGCTCTGAGAGGCATGTTTGAGGACGCCTGCCCTCGGTGCAGGTGAAACCGCACTGTCCCCACGAAACCCAGGCCCGTGTACACTGCCCACGCCTCCCCGAGGGGCTGCACGCACTGTGGTGGTGGTGGGGGGGGCATTTGGCCACTTGTCCACTTAGAAACCTTCCTGTGCCTCCTGGTTTTGACAGGACCACGTTCAGGACTGTTGCGCACCTCGGATTCTCTGATTGGGAGTGCCACCCGACGGGCCCCTGTGCTGGGCCCCCGGTACCAGGGCTGGGGGCTGGTGTGGCCCAGAGGCCTGGTAACCTCACAGCATGCGCGGCGCGGCCTTCTCCCGGGCCTGGGGAGGCTGCAGTTCAGCACCGTGGACACTAGGTGGCAGCAGTGGAAAGCGCTTAAAGAGGCACCTGAAGTTCTTGCTCTGCACCTGCCTCCACTTAGTTCCTCCTCGGCTTTGGAAGGAACCCCCCACCGGTGGGCTTACCCCAGAAACCTCACTGGGTAGACGGGCTCTGCCCCTGCCCGGCTATGGGATGGATGCTCGGTGACTACCGGGAGGTGGGGCTGAGGACCAAGACCAGGGCCACCGGCTGCCAGCACCGTTTGTTGGAGGGAGGGGCTGCAGTGTGGTCTGAGCGGCCGGCGAGGCTACTTGGCCTTTGCAGTCGGCCCGGGGAGTGGGGCAGGGGCAACCGGAGGGGGACGGGTGCAGCCAGAGGTCTTAGCCTCTTCTGAGGACCCGCAGGAGTATTTTCCCACCCGGCCGTGTCCCTGCGCACTGGAGACGCGCGTCTGGACGGCCCAGGATACACCGCCCCCGGGGGCCCCGCCCTGGGCCCGCCGCCACCCTGCTGGAAGGGACTGAGGGCGAGGTGGCTACCAGAGGGTACGGCAGGGGACCAGCATGTCCCGAGCGCCCACTGTGTGCCCGACTGCTGAGACATCCGCATGCCTGCTATGCGCTCGTTTTGGGTTTACGCAGGATTCCCGGGGGCAGGGTGGGCTCTGCTGGGCTGAGTTCCGGGTTCGCACCCACGCTGCCGTCTCGACTGCTGAGCTAGGTGTTCTGGGGTCCCTGCGTCTCCCCGCACTGGTTTTCCCGTTTGTGAGACGAGGCTTTGTCCCATTTCCATGTGGGGACTCAGGTCGCAGGACCTTCCCTGGGGAGGTGCCGTGGGTTCACATGCCCAGCACTGCGCGAGGACGCAGTGGTGCCAGGCCCCCGCGGTCTCACCCGTGAGTGTAGGCGGGTGTCTCCTCGTGTCCCGGGACCCGAGACGCTGTTATCCTAGGGGACAGGTGTTGAGTGAAGGCTGGTGGGAACGAGGAGGTGTGGGAGGATGGGGAAGGTGAGAGAGAGGAGGGGAGGGCGGCCTGGCAGCGGGAGCTCCCGAGCGCTGGCGGGGCACAGGGCGTCTGCCGCAGACGCCCGGCCCCCCAGCCCAGGAGAGGCGGGCTCCTGGGACGCAGCCCGGGTCCTGCAGGGACAGGGACTGCAGATTCTCTGACCCTCCGCCCTGAGGGGCAGGCAGTGCAGGGACCGGAGTCCAGGCCGCTGTCCCCGGTGTGCGTGGAATCTCAGGTGAACCGTGGGGACAGGAGGAGCGAAGCCCCACATTCCCCGGGAGCGAAGGGAAGGGACCAGCCTGCAGCTCAGGGGTGCGCTGACCACAAGAGGGGGCGGAGCCCGCATTCCTTCGGGGCCGGGGACAGACACACAGACTCCAGGGAGCCTGGGAAGTGAGGGGGTTGTCCGAGGTCCCCAAGTGCATGAAGCCCGTGTCCAGGCCAAACACCCTGTCTCCACCACGTGACGGAGAAGGAAGGAGCCCGCTTTGCTGCCGAGGATGAGGGACGAGGATGGGTGAAAGGTCCTCACTGTCGGAGGCGGGGCCACTGGGCTTCAGCAGGTAGGGGGCGCTACTGCGTCATACACTGAGGCTGGGAGGCTGGGGTGCCTGCCTGCCGGCCCCACGGAACCCGCAGGCCCAGGGAGCGTGGTCGGACGCCCTGGGGAGAATCCCAGGCAAGGGCCGCCGGCGTTACATCCTCAAGGGCGCCGTTTTGCTCAGCGCTGTTTTGGGGGCATGGGACACAAGGGTGGGTGGGTCCCCCCAGGGAGCAGGTTCCCGGTATCAGCAGCTGGGGAGTCAGAGGCCACTTGTTTTTCCTTTGGACACCACCGCCTCAACCGTCACCAATCAGGTGACTGTCCCCGCACCAGGGACAGTCCCTGCTGTGTTCCAGCAATGGGACCCCGGAGACAAAAGCAGTTACAAATCCACCTGCAAACAAAACAATGACAAGCTAATCCTGAAACACATTTCACCTAAGTTTTTGGAGTTTTTTGAAGCTAAGAAAAATGTTTAGGATTACTGTAAGTCAGTATTTATAAACAAAAGTGTGTTTAGAATAGTTTTGTTTACCTGATTAAATATCTGGTCTGTGGAAATTGTGTGTTTGTCCTTGGACTTGTGGACTTTCTGGTCCTTCTCCCCCTTCACCTCGTATCTCCATTTCCCAAAGCCCCTCAGGTGGAAGGAGATGGAGGAGGGAGGGCCGACTTTGCCAAACTGGGGGCAGGGGGCGCGAACCACAGCCACGCAGGCACATCCATCCATGTGTTTTCGAAACTCCCCCAAGACGGTAAGACTCCCAGGAGGTTGTGGAATACAGCGCAAATGCTCCTGATGCAAAGTTTTTCCAGCTGATGCGTCCACCCCAGCGCCAAAGTCGAGGGCGTGTGGTGATCGTCACCGAGACGCCAAACCTCCTCGGGCCTGACGGCCCCCTTTCCCCGAGCCCCTTGGCTGCCACCACTGAAGGTCACGGTCCTCTGGCCACCGGGGGTGGAGGTGAGCTCCAGGGTCCAGCCTTTGACTTCCTGTCCCGCCTCCCTGCCCCGCGACGCCCTCTGAGCCACAGCCCGGACCTGCCTCCAGGATGTTTCCCTTTCGCCCCGTGGCTCCTCTGTAACACACAACCCCAGACTCCGCAAAACCGCTGAGAGGAGACCGTTCTGACAAACACTGTGTAAAAGAGAAACGACAGCTTTAGAGAAGTTTTGTTCCAAGCAAAACCGAGCAGGAAGTTCCGAGTTCCCACGTGCCTCCTGCCCCTCCCCGTCGCACCCCCGCCCAGAGGGCGCACGTGCCGTGCCAGCCGGTGGACCTCCTCCGGCTGCTTCTCCCGACCCCACGGAGCCCTCCAAGGGCCTCTGTGCCGTGGGCTTCCCACCGCCTCCCTCCGGCACTGGGGCCGCTGGGTTCCGGCAGGAGAAGCAGTGCTGCACGGCGCGCCCACCGCAGTGTTTCCGGTCGCTCTGCACAGCGCCTTGTCCTCTGTGGTCCCGAGGGCCCTCCCACAGCCCCCGCGGTGTCGGCGCTGCAGATGGGACCACACCCCCACTCACCTCCCAGGATACGAGCCCGGACAGGTCGGGTGGTGTCGGCAGGTACAGGACTAACGGGGAACCAGAGGCTAAGACCCCTGCACTTCCCGAAAGCTGCCTGCGTCCTCCTGGCTGAAGCTTGAATCCCCCCCCCTCGCCCACTCACCGCCTTCCCTCCTGGAGGCGGGGGCGGGGGGCCCGCCCAGGGCCGGCGTCAGCCACTGACCGACCGAAGAGGCACGTCCTCTCCGTGCACAGCCCGCCCGTCCCCTCCGCAGCAGCAGGGCCTCTTGGGTGGGCAGCCACCTCGGGAGGGGTTCCTGGTCTGCGGCCAGAGAGGGACGCTCCGCCCCGCTGCACCCGAGTCCTCGAGGCCCCGTGGGCGGGGCCGGGAGATGACAGGTTATGAGCAGGCAGGGAGGGCGGTGAAGGCCCAGCTGCTGGAGCAGAGCCAGGCCGTCACCTGTGGGGCGGGGCCGCGGCAGGCGGCCTGCACGGAGGAGCACGCTGGGGTGGAGGGGGACCAGGGACGAGGAGACGGGTGGTCCCCACTCCCAGCTGAACCTTCCTGTAGTCAGGGGGCCAGGAGCCAGAGCTGACAGCACCGACAGCACCGGCTCGCGCTGCGGTGACCCGGGAGCACCCACCGGAAGCCTGACTCCCCCCACAGGTAGGGAGGGTCCACACGCACTAAGGTGACGATTGGAGGTGAAGGGAAAGGACTTTGGAGTGAGATGGGGAAAAGCTCTTCTGTGCGATTCTATCACACACAAGTCAAAAGAGGAAAGATTCCTAAATCTAAAAGAGACAGTCTTATGTCACAGAACAGGCGGGAAAACACGGGTCAGGGTAACAAGGCACTGAATACAAAGTCAAATTCGGGAGATCTTAAAACCACCAGCTTCTTTAATCAGAAAGCAACAAACATGCAAATGGCAAGTGTAGAAATTTATTGGAACCAACATTGTCACTACACGAGAATTGCTCTCCAATGTCGATCCGGCTCCCCCGCCTGGAGGTGAGGGGTATTGCACTTCGAGGCTAGCACGGCTCACGCAGGGCACTAGGGCTGAAGACACCTGCTGGGTCTGGCTGACACACTCGCCCAAGTTCATGCACACAGTCATTCCACACCAACGCCAGCTGTCCCCCAAAAGGGAAGACTCCACAAACCATAATCTTAAAATTGCACTGAAGCTCTGTAAAGGGAAAAACATAACAATGTCTCGTACGAATTCCAGCACGCTGGCTCGGCGCCGGCCGCTCCAGGCGCTCAGCCCTCGTCCTCGTTGTCGTTCTCCTGGCCGGAGCCCTCCGACCGGTCGCCCTCCAGCCGGTCTGGAAAACACGGGGCGGGGGGACACTCGGAAGATGCACTCGCGGGGCCACACCCGAGGTGCCCGCCACCCCGCACATCGCCACGCTGGGTCGGCTCCCCGCGGCGTGGGCCAGTCCCAGGCCGAGGGGGCTGAGGGCCTGGACGGTCGCTTCAAGTTCAGGCTCCGCCTGGTCCGCGGCACGGCCTGGGTAAGTCACGGCCAGCCCGCTCGGCGGGGGGTCGGGGCCCAGCGAGGCTGGACCTGCGACGTGACCGGTCCGCGCCCGGTGCCGGACAGGAACTCCGCCAACGCCCATCACCGCCCCTACGGACTGCGGGGTGACGCCGCGTGCGAGGACGGCCGGCCTACGAACTCGGTGGGCAGTGATGAGCACGCTCCGTGAGCACACCCTGTTCAGAAGGGACACTGGGACCCTTGCTGTCTGGCCCACAGACTGCTGAATTCTCTCCTGAACGTCAGCTGGGACATCTGCAGTCTGTGTCCTCTGTGGCACCGGACCCCGGTTTCTCACTTAGAACAAAAGGACGCTGAGAAAACACGGAGGCGTCTGTTTCAGCCACAGCACGCGCCACGTCTCTGCTTGCTTCTTTTCTGACTTCGAGCAAAGGGCCCACTAAGGGCGCCGACGATGGCACCAGGGCTCCTGGCAGGAGCCCCACTCGGACAGGAAAGGCAGAGCGGCTGAAAGTTCTGGGTGAAAGCCGCCTCCGTCCTGCCACGCAGATCCCCAACCGCGGCGCACTCCCCCCCGCAGGCGCCCCCGGGGACGCGAGGGCCCTCACCGGCGCGGATGTGGTTCAGCGAGGCCAGCATCCTCAGCATGAAGGAGGCGGGCACGGTGATGGTGTTCCGGGTCTCCTCCAGCATCAGCTCGTTGCGGGTGATGACCTGCGGGGGAGGGGGGGGCACGGCGGCACGTCAGAGGCCCGGGAGCGAGCGCTGCCCCCTGAAGGCCGGGCGGGGGGGGGGCGTGTGGGCGAGAGCAGCCCCTCACGTCCCGCCCGCTGTCTGCGCCACGCCCCCTCCTGCCCAAGGCTTCCCAGTGCCAGACGGTCACTCTCACGGTCACTCTCCTCGCGGGCGCGAGAGGAGCGAGGCAGAGAGCGCTCCCCCCTGGGGCAGGAGGACAGAGGCCCGCCCGGCTGCTCACACACCCGGGAACTCAACTCATCTTTGCATTGTGCCCGGACGTCGTTTCCCCGACAGCAGAACCGACACCTTCGGGCACAGGGGGATTTTAAACTGTCGTCCCCGGGTCCCCGGGGTCCCCGACTGAGGCAAAGGGGCCTTGACATATGGCCTTTGGACACGAGCTACCGCTGACCGGTGTCTTAAGAGCAAGGACAGGGCTCAGGGAACCCCCGAGACACGGGGGCTCCACGGCCCGGCTGCGGGCAAAGGGGCAAGGGCAGCGGGCAGCAGAGCGCTGGGGGGAGGGGCCGGGAAGCCTGAGCGAAGACACGGGCGCATCCGTGGGCCGCCCCGGGGAAGGACAGCACGGCTCCGCCCACCGGGTCCCCGCGGGGCCCTGGCCGTCTGTCCCCGACAGGCTTCTCGTCTGCCCGAGCGCCTCCCCCACACACACGGCCGGTCTCCGCACACGGGCGTTCCCGGAGCCTCCACACAACGCGGAACACGCCGGCCCTTGTGTCTCCAGGGCTCCCTGGCGCCCTCTCTGCCCGTAAACGCAGTCCTGGCGACTTCCACGTCCTCGTGGGGGATGTCCCCTCCACTCCGAGCACAGCTGTCCCCCCCGCACGTAGGCCTGCACACGCTGGGTGGATGTCTCGGTCACCGACCTCGCGTGCCAGCTGGCCGGGCGGCGTCCGCCTTCCCCTCGCACGAGCCCCAGGCACAGGGTGTGCCTGGGACCCACAGGACCGGCGCTGCGGGCCGGTGCCTGCCACAGGGCAGACGCCGCGTGGGGCCCGTGCTCTGCTGTCCACCCGCTCTGAAGGGCTCTGCCTGACCCTCCACGCCCTGCCCTTCTGAGCTCCGGGCCCTTGGGACTCACTCCTTCAGAGGGGGGGCAGCCCCCTGAGCTGCACTCGCCTCCCCTCCCCCGGGAGCTCAGCGGTCGGCAGCCCATTAACGCAGTGGACGCCCATTAGCATGCGAAACCACCCACGGAGACCCACGGGTGAAAACCCGGCCACAGGAGAGGCCGGCCGACCGTCCACTTCCCTATCCCGACCCACAGAAGACCTGGCGCCTCCCAGGGCTCAGCCGGAAACCCGCGGGCTCAGACAGGAAGCGGAGGGAGCCTTAGGGCACCGGGACCAAGGAGAAGGTCCCCTGTCATCCGTCCTGCTGCCCGCGGGCTGCGGGGCCGGAGGACGGCGTGGAAAACCGCAGGGCCCGGCACAAACACTGCCCCGGTTCACGCGCCGGTGAGCCGGACCCCGTTGTCATCACAAAATCACAGGGGTGTGACTCTGGGACATAACGCCGACCCAAGCACACAACGTGACATTTCGGGTGGCACGTTCCAAGTGCTGTCCATCTCGTGCGAGATACTCTGTCCCCGACCACCGCACTCACTCGGGCGTTCCTTCTGCCGGACCCTGGGGGTCCTCAAAGGGACAGGGCGTCTTTTTAAAGATTCTCTGCTGTGACAGTACAGAGTCAACCTGTTGTCCTCAAACTACAAAACAATCTGGTATTACTAATGCTCAGCCTTCGAATTAGCAAAACACTAGTTTGATTTTAGCCTCTAGTGCGGGAGGCACGTTTTCATCTCCAGTTTTACTTCCCACAGCCGGCCTCCCGGGCGGCAGGGCCTCGCCGGGGTGCCCTCCATGGAGCAGCCGCCCCGAAGCCGCCCGGGAGGGCCTGTGGGGACCACGCGGAGGGGCCGGCACGTGTGACCCGCAGCTCACCTCGTCAGCGAGTTTGCGGTTGAAAATCCTCGACTCCTCCAGCGGGGACCAGATCTTTATGTCGTAGTCGATGCCAGACGAGGCCAGAACTGGAAAGGAGACGCACGGTCACCCTGAACTCAGAACACGCGCCACGTCTCCAAGCTGTGCGCACGTGCACACATGTGCGTACGTGTGCACAGACACGCATGTTCACACGGTGCACAGCAGGGCCCCAGCACGTCAAGTCACTTCATGGTGACCCCGACCAGACGCCGCAGGCACGGCAGTCTCCACTGTAGCAACTCACTCGTGGTAAAACTGGCTCTGAATACACTGTTTCGCTTCACATCGCCGAACCTATCCACAGCGTCCAGTGAGGACCTACTGTGTGTACCTGTGCCGTGACAGTGAGCTGAAGTGGAAACTGTGCTGATACATCTGTTAACCGAGAACATTATTTCGAAGATTTCCTAGAAATGGCCCTAGCGTACAATTTTAAGACCATCTCGAAGGACTCAGAGTTCTCTCGTGCTCACCGCTGTTCTAGGAGAAACGAGGGCAATTCCCAGCGGAAGGCAAGCGCCGGCCAGCGCGCCCCGGGTGCCATCTGCAGGAGCAGGGAGGAGCTCGCCCAGCTCAGAGGAAGTGTCGGGAGGACGCTCTCTTCGGCCGACCGCCCCGCACTTCCCGCCCACAGAGTGGCTGTGTTTGTTCTAAACCCAGCAGAGCCGTGACTGATGCCGGCGGCTGCCCGCCAGGGTGACCCAGGTGATCCCGTGCCGGCCGGAGCGCCAGCGGAGCCGGCGAGCCCCTCTCCTGACTCCCAGCCCCGCCCCCATGCGGGCGGGCCCTTACTCGGGTCGAAGGGGTGCGGCTGCAGGCAGTTCACCACGTGGTTGTCGGCCTCCAGCAGCATCAGGTGCTCGGCGGTGTGCCGGTCCCAGATGAAGATGTGGCCGCAGTCGGACCCGCTCATCACGAAGTTCGCACCCCAGAAATTGGCTTCTTTTATCTGAGGGGTTACACAGAGGAAAGTACAGGGAAGTTCACATCGAAGTTATTTACGTACACATTTATTCTAAACACGTGTTACTGGCTTGGAAAGTAAGAAGCAAGGAGCCTCCCCGTCCCCTAGTGTCTCCGGGCTCTGCTGGCGGGGACGCGGCTCTCAGCAGCGGCAAGTCCCCGGCGAGCACAGGGCGCTGTCGCGCTCCCGTGTCTGAAGCGGCTCTGAGCACACAGCGGGTGCCCAACTGCTAACTGCTGAATGAACGACGGGGACTTCCGGGCGTCTGACAGTGTCACGGGGAGCCCCGGTCTCGTTCCCAGCCGCCTGAAGCCCCCCGGCCGAGGAGGAAAGCTGCAGGCGCGCCCGCTTTCCTGAGGCAACGACACGGGCGGCGGCCGGAGCGGCTGTGACGGCCGCGTTCTCCGGTGGGCGCGTGCACGCGACCCTCCAAGTCTGCGGACCTCAGGGCCGCTGTTTGTCGGTCACGTCCTCTGCAGCTGCTGCTTTGCCCTTTTTTTGGCCAAGCAAAAAGGGGGAGCCACTTTTGTTGTTACTTGGAGCTATTACTTTATTTACTCATCTTCTTTTCATGTCATTCCAGCTCCTAATCCTTTTCCTCCAAAATTTTAACCAGCAAAATGCAAGAAATGTAAACTGGTTACTCGCCGTAACAATAGTACTCTTTCTCGAATGATTGCATTGTTACTCCCGGTGATCCTTCCATAGAGAGCTCACTATCTCCCTGCCCTCGAGTGCCTGTTGACCTAGCCTTGAAGGCGGCAGAGGAACGCCGGTTCTGGAGACATGCCGGGCACTCGGTGACTGCGGGAGGACAGCACTCTGCAGATGCACAGTGCTTCAGAGGGACAGGCACGGTGCACCCATCACCCCGCCGGGTCCCCCTCACACACAGTCAACACAGCGCTGGGCGTGCGGACCTGTGGGCTGTCAGACTTGGAGGGGTCTTACACGCCACGGGGTCTGCTCTGGGTATTGCGTCGCGAGGAGCCGACGTCTGGAGAGCGCGGCGACTCAGCCGGACCTCTGCTGGCCCGTCTCGGAGGGCGAGGAGAGCGCCCTGGCTGTGCTCCGCAGCGAGTCTGGGTTTCACGCCGTCAAATCTTAAAAACGGACTCTAGTCTAATTTCTGTGCACAGGTGTAAGATTCTGATTTTTTTTAAAAAGAAAGCCGTATTCTCATAAATAATTTAATAGGGCCTCATATCAAGATGACATGTAACTCTGAAACACTGTCACCTGGAGACTAGTAACGGGCACATTATTAATTAACTACAACGTTCGGGTGGCCCTCCGTCCCGTTCCTCTTTTCTCTCGGGAAAGAGCCAGAGCTGCTGTGACTTCCAACCACCTGCTGGCAGGTGCACAGCAAGCGTGAGAGGGCAAATGAGAAGCACTGGTCGCTCGTACAAGCTGAAAGTTTGAAAATCCCACGCTAGTCCCTGTAAAAACCAGTGGTCTTCCTGCCCCATCACGGGACTAAAGAACCGTGTCTGGGTCAAGGGACAGCTGTGGAGGCACCACAGGGCAATGCTGGGACCACACTGTCAGCCCGGGAGCGAGACGGCTACGCACACACACAGGCAGGGTGAAACCGCGCCCTCCGCGAAGAGGGCCGAGGGCCCGGTACCATTGTCCTGGAGTTGCGGTGGCCCTTATACACCATCTTCACCAGCGGCCTTCTGATGTTCAGCGTGTCCAGCTCTTCCATTTCCTTCCTCTCTTTCCTCCGCCGGAAGAACTCCTGAATGCGGGCAACAGCAGAGCGTCTGTGAATTCCACATGCAAAGAGAAACACAAACAGGTGAACGCCACTCACGGGCCGCCGCACAATGAAACGATGAAACGATGCAGGTTCAAGGCAGAGGGCTAGGAGCCCGTTCAAGTGCACGTGGTCTCCGTGAGGCACCCCCGGCCGCAGCCCGAGGCGGACACAGCAGAGGGCCCCGTTGGACTAGTCGAGTTGCGAGAACACGGTGTTTTAGTGAGGGGTGGCGGGGAGACCTGCTCCCGGCGTGGGCCGCGGGGGGCGGCACGCGGCACGCCGAGTTCCAAGGGCGGTGCGGGGACACCGCACGCAGTCCAGACAGACTCGCGTGCAGGCTGCCACAGATAAAACAGGCCCCGGCAAATGCTGCCTCTCCTCCTCTCCACACCGGGAAACTGAAAGGCATACGGAGAAGCCAAAGGAAACGGAGGGCAATGTGTACCAGCAATGGATAAACTTGTTGTGAGATTTTTGCTTAAAGATGTCCCCAGCAGAGGACAGAGGAGTCGGGGACAGGGGACGAAGCACTACTAACGTGCAGTGGATGACGGCCTTCCCCCTCGGCCCCCGCTCTGCAGGGGCGCCCCCCGGGGAGCAGAGCGGCGCGGCGATGGCAGAGCAGGGCCGAGGGGGAGGAGGGGGCTCTGTTCAGACCGCTGTGCTTACCAGCAGACACCGTCCCACCCACGAGAGTGCACAATGAGTCTGATAGCTGGAAGGTTTAAAACACTGCATTCTGACATACATAAATAAAAAATCCAAAATACACAAAAAGTCTATAAATCAGCAAGAAAAACGACCATTGTAACAGGAAATCACAGGGCTAGAAGACTCACGTTCTTCTAGACGCGAGCAGGAAAGTTGCGGAAGAAACGGACAGTTAGCGGTTACAAAGGAGGATGCCCGGCCTCATGGACGAGGAGACACATCACGGCTGCACACAGAGCGGACGGCGCGCCCTCTCTCGTGGCCAAGTTCTCGTCGCTGAGCTGGGGGTGGGGGGAGGGGAGGCCAGCAGCAGCGAAGGGGGCTGAGGCTGCGGAAAGGCACTCGCACCACCCGTGCAGGGGTGCAGCGCTTTGGAAGGGGACTCGGGTGAGCTGTAAACGCACACTGCGAGCTCTTGGGCAACCACCGAAACAAGTAAAAAAAAAAGTGTAATTCCTAGACCAAGAAAGGAGGAAAAAATGGACTCATGAAATGCTGAATTAAAACCACAAAAGGCAGAAAGTGAGTGGAAGACAAAAAAAATAGGACGAAGAAACAAGGAAGGGCAGGAAAAAACTGCCTTATCTTTGGAAACGCCCCAATCCCTCTGCAGGAAAGCAGCAACCAAGGCCAAGAGGGTGCGTCTCCTCTCATTGGCTCTAAGGGGGACATGGGGGGCAGGGGGCGGGGTCAGGGCCGCTTCTCCTGCTTCCCCCCGTGGGTCAGTTCACGATAGCCCCCACGCCAGCGGTCTGGCTTTGCTGGACTCGCTTAGCGCAGTGCGGCATTTTTCAGTTGGGGTCTTCACTGCAAGAGCTGAAATTTGCTTGAGGCACTTGGAATAACAGGTATAAATAAACCAGAAAAGCCAAAAAGCCCTGAAACAAATTCCATTTTTCTGTCCTTTAACTAGAGAGTGGTGACTGGTAGTAGGCTGATTTGCAGAAAGTTACTTCAAACACACCTTAACGCTGAAACAGCCTGAGAACGCCAGCACAAAAGCAAAAATAACCTGAAGACGTTTACATGGGCATTCTCATGGGAACAGGCCCTCCAAGGGATGCTTCTACAGCCACTGCCGTTTCCGGCTTGCTTCCTCTTTCCTGTGCTCCCCAGGGGGGCCCCCCCCCGTGGCGGCATTCCGGGTGCTTGCTTGGGGCTGTGCCTTTCATTCCGCTGTGCTTCAGAAACCAATGGTAAGAAACAGACAGGCGCCGCCAGAATCAGGTCCCAGGCCGGTTCTGGCCGTGCACCGGGCTACGCGCAGGTAAAACGGGACGGAGGGTCACCTGAACGTTGCAGTTAATTGATAATGTGCCCATTATTAGTCTCCAGGTGACAGTGTTTCAGAGTTGTGTGTCATCTCGATATGAGGCCTTATTATTTATGAGAATACGGCTTTCCTTTGAAAAGATCAGAATCTTACACCTGTGCACAGAATTAGACTGGAGTCCGTTTGTAATCACTGATCCCGAGGAAAAGGAGTGTATTTGAGGAACAGCAAAAAGGTGCTGTCATCCCACTCAAGTTTAAAACCCCCCAAAACACCGTAAGTTGCATTCTTTAAGGAAGTATGCAAAGCAAGGGGCCATCATCTAAAGCACATCACTTCGGGTCATGGCTGCTTCTTCGTGTGACACTCGACGTGCACACCGGTCACACACGCACACAGGAAGCTGATTTCGGCCCAGCCCCATGCACGCACGCATGCAGCTAGCGACGGTTTGCGCCCAGCGACCCGCCTGGCAACGCCGAGTGCTCAAGAGTCCGGCAGCCCCGGGGAGCGGTAACTGTTAACGGGAAAGGCGGTTAGCTGTGGGGAACAGCGCCTGGCAAAGTCGTCACGAAGACTCAAAGACAGCAACAAGAAGGAGGGAGCACACTGAATTACCTCTTTATCCTATCACCTATTGTGGTTCCTCTGACATTAAATCTAGTGAAGGGAACACAACAGTCACTCACAGACGCCACGGACGCAGGCACCCAGCGTGGCGGGCTGGCGCCACCTCGCCCCACCGCCGGCCGGCAGCCCCCCGCTGCCCTCTGCGCTCCGGGGTGTGGTGAGGGGGGGCCGTTCAACCGAGTGTGGGGGGGAGACGGGGAGACGGGAGCGCGCACTGAAGACAGGTAGAAGGAAGACCTGGCGCTGAACGCTCTCCATCATTTTTGAAACGTGCTGGGGTGGCGCTGGTTCACGGGGCCACACCGGCTTGCAACTTGAGGCGCGACCGAGCGTCGCCTGCGTGGGGCGCCCACCGCCCAGAGCCAAGTCCCTTTCTCTCCCCTTCACCCCCCCACCTCCCCCCGCCCCTTGAAGAGGTCAGAACGTAACCCAGTTACGGAGCGGAGGCACCTGCAGGGAGGGACTCAGGCCCACACTGCCCACGGGGCCCCCCCGCCAGCTCTCCTTGCGGAGCGACTCTCCGAGCCCCGAGCTGGCCCTCCGCCCCGACCAGAAGACTGCACACAGGCAAGCGGCCAGTCGCAGAGCTGCTAACACCCCAGGGGCCGTCCCTTCTTCGGCTCGCTCTCCTCCTCTGCACCCCTCTTCAACGAAGAAGGAACGCGAAGCGTTCAGAAACTCGGACACAGTGGCTGTGACGGCGACCGAACAGATGGTGGCCGATTCGCAGCACACGAAGAACCTGGGCTTCAGAGGAGGCAAACCGAACCCAATTTCCACGCAAATAAATACTTCTCAAAACTCGTTAACAGGCAATATGGGTTTACACCTTGAATCTTTGAGTCTGTAACTCAAAGTATTCAAGACTACGTGAGGACGTCTTCGGGGAGCTCACTCAGACGGCTGTCTTGTTTCAGAGCAAAGCACCCCCGGGGTTGGCCAGGAGGAAGAGCCGCCCGCCAGGCCCTCCGCCGTCTCTCCCACGCATGACGCACCTGGCGCCCTGGACACCCTCGCGTGAAGGCCGGCCCTGCCTTTCACCCGGCCCCCAAACCCAGCACCTAACACCGGCAGGGGGTCGCATACCACTTCTATGCCTTGGGTTTTCCAGTGTCACGCTTGGAAAGTGCATGCTTGATCACCTCTTCCTTCGATTTAGTTTCCCTTTCATGTTCTACGTTCTTGCCCTAGACCAAGTTCAAGGGGCCCTACTACGCAGGGATCACAGATTTCTCCGTTGTAACCTTGGGATGTCTGCCAGGAGAGGCCTCTCACCGCAGACTCCAGCTCGGCCTCCCTGAGGCTGGCCGGCCGGAGAGCGCGGAGCGGCCAACCACGGCGCGTGGGCCCGGCCCCGCCGCCGCCACCGGTTCTCCAGGGCCCACGGGCGGAGACCAGTTCCCACACCTGTCAACGGGGACATTCTCAACGGTTATGAAGGCACCTATGTAGCAGCCTCTGCTGTACAGAGCCCCAGCTCTGTCTGCGCCGAGACGAGCTCGAGTCCGTGAGAAGAGCACCCCATGTACAAACGGCTGCGTCAGACGCTGAGGCCGTCGCTGTCCGAGGCATTCCCACCGCGTGCCCAGTCTCGGCCCAGGAGTGGAAGCCACGGCACACCTGCCTGGTCCAATTACAAGGGTGCAGATCTCGAGAGAGAAAGCATTATTCCACACTGCAAAGGACTGTTTTGGTATTCTTATTAAATACACGTCCAAAATGGCTTAGCTATAAAGTATTTTTTTTATTACATTTGGGGCATAAAAATGTATGAGATCCACTACGTCATTCTTTATACAAGTTCAAGTACAGATCCAAGCCCGTACTTGCACCGTTGTTAATTTGCGGGCCGTTCCTCGGCCCTAGCCACACTAACCGTGGCCGAGTTCTCGCTGAGACGCGCTCTTCCGCTGACACTTTCACCCAAGTGTGAATGTGTCTGAGACTCTGAGAGCCAAAAGGCGTGGCTTTTCCAGCAGGGCCCTGGGATCCTTTGTCCCTTCACAAGCAAACTCTCGAAGATACATGCCTACTTACAAGGATCCTTTCCATGCTCTTAAAAAGCAAAACTCCTTAAACCTCCTCCAGGATGAAAGACAACACAACCATTTCCCTAAATTTAGACGTAAAACAGGTGGGCCGTGGTCTCGGGGTGAAGAGCCCTAGGAAGGGGCAGAAGTACGACAAGTGCATTTTATACAAGCAGTTCAAGAGTTGACCCTGCCCCCGAAGTCGGGAACTTTTAAAATCACTTAGATAGAAGCCAGACGGAAGACCTCCCTCCTGTGATGGGCGTCTGGTAAGTGGCTAGGAAAGGCGGGTGCAGATGCCGGAGAAAGGCCGGAGCGGCCGTGAGCGCGCAACCTGGTGCTGAGTCTCAGAAACTCCCGTCTTCCAGGTTCTTACAAGCGGCACGTGTACTGCCCTCTGTTCGTCAATAAACCGAGTTTTTTCGAAGTGTAAGAATTTTACTATCCTGTTACTCTTCACTGAATTTACTGCTGTGTCCTACCGACCGAAACGAAATAGCACATGGGCCAAGCCAGGGCTACCCACCTCAGCCAGCACACGGACCACCGTGTGATCGTTAGTTCAGAGAAAACTCGGGGAGGCGAGCGCAGGCCGGAGGCAGCCTGGCGTCTGGGGTCGGCGCGAGGGCCTGAGTTCCGCAGAGCGTGCGGCGCGGGGCCGCCCAGGCTCCTGCCCCCGACCGTCTGCCCCCGGACGCTCTGCCCGTCTGATTCGGTGCCTGGGTTCCTGGGGTCCGGGGGCCGGCAGAGGCCAGGCTGGAGGCAGACCCAAACCCTAGGAGAATCGCTCACAGATGTAAACCATCCAAATGCTGTGAAGACGACAGAGAACTGATAAAGCGCAACAGAAAGACAGTTCCTGTAACATCCTAACTCCAAAGTAAGGATAATATAACCTCGGGAAGCTCTGGATTCTCTGAGACCCACTCTTTCCCCAAGTCCTCCTTTTCAGTGGTGTTACACCGCTGTGCTCAAAACCAAAACCAAAGCCACCCCTCCCCTTAGGGGTCCAGAATGCACAAGACCCTGCCCAGGCCCTCAGTCTCCGCGGCCACCAGGCAGGACCGGTGTGAGAGGGTCGGGATTAGCCTGGACAGGAGATACCAAAGAATTACGACTTTCTGCCAGTGTCTGTTATCTACTAAAAATACAACTTCTCACTTAAACAAATCTGGAAAGTGATACGGTACATTTTGTTAAAAAGCAGATACTTAGTTTCACTCTCAGCTATGACCTTCGTACCATTTTTGTCACGTCGGCACAGAAAAAACAGGGCGTGCGTCCGCTCGGACAACAGCTGGCGGAGGCCGCACACACGTGCGGATGCCAGCCCCGGGCCCTGGGTCTTGGAAACCGTCCACCTGAGCTCCGAAGTGCGGGACGTGTGGCCACCTCGCATGCAGGCCCCGGCGGTGGCGGGCGCTGCCGGACGCCCCTGGGGCGGAGGGAAGGGGAGCCAAGTGCTCCTGGCCGGAAATGCTGCGGAGGACGCGGAGGACCGCTGCGTGCGGGCAGGGCGAAGACGCGCGACTGACCTCCGGGGGCAAGCCCAGGGGAGGGGACGCCCCTCCGGCTATAAACAGCGCCGCTGCCCTCGGCCACGGCCACGGGAAGACCGTCCTTTGACGGTGACGGTGAGGGAACGGCGGCCTCGCTGACTGCAGGCTGTTTGCTTCCCCGGCCGCCGCTGGTGAGGCTGCTGCGCGAGCAGCCACAGGGCGTCCGGGAGGGCCAACGCAGCCGTCCCCTACTTCGTGCCTCCGGCGTGACCCCGGGCCGGGACTGACCGACTGGCCGGTTTCTGAAGAACTCAGGTGACCCAAATCGCCTCCACCCGTTTCACAAACAGGGGCGCTGAAGCGTGCACGAGAGCACGTAGCTGGGAAGAGGGGAAACCAGGACTGCGACCGAGCCAGGGCGCCGCGAGCACTGCACGCCTGGCGCCGTCCCTCCCACGGGAAGTCCGCCGGTCCCCTGGGGTCCCGCCCACGGCGGCCCACTGAGCGCAGGAACAGGGCAAGTGCTCCTTCTCGCCGTGTGAGCCAGAACTTTATCTCTTAATTCTTCAAAAAATATATATATAATCTGTCTTGTATTTTTTCCACTACCACTTAGTCCCCTTAAGCGCCCCTGCCCCCAGCAACCACCACACTGTCGTCCGTGTCCAAGAGTCCTTCCTCCTGGTTTGAGCTGGGGTTTTAAAGGGAGGATGGGAGTCTCTGAAAGGGGGCGGGGCTTGCACGAGGCCTGGTGGCACGACTGCAGAAACAGGTTTTGAAAAGTATGGAATGCAACGTACTTTCAGAGACTTTATCTACTGAAAATAAAATATGTCCTGTGATCATATAAAACGAAAACTGGGAAAAGTGTATGACCATGTTAGCAACTCAGTTCTTCACTGTGGTTATATTTGTTATTTGGTGTAATTTTCCACTTTCTAACTGAGTTACTCAAGTTCAGCAGGAATCAGAGAAGAATACAGTGTTCTCAGAACAAGAACTGCTACCACACTGCCCTGATCCAGGGTCAGCAGAAAAGCAAAAACACCGGACAGTAAAAACCTCCAAGAACCTGACGAAGGCCAGGGTGCGCACCGAGCGGCGTGACAGCGAACTCCAGCCCCGGCCCCATGAACACCCTGGGGGCGCCCCCCCCCCCCACCTGCGGACTGAGCAGGGGCCTCGGCGTGGGGGAAACAAACAGCCGTGAGGCTCGATTCCCCGCTCGCTGCACACCCGGCCAGTGTCTGTCACCTACTAGAGCTGTCTGTGGGTGACCTCGGGTCCCGAGAGCTCTCCGCGTCCCCACGACCGAGGCGAGGCGCCCTCAGAGGAAGCCCCGGTCCCAAAGGGAGGGGCTCCTTTACGTGACTCCGGAGAAAGCCTCGAGAATTACATTTTTACGGTCGGTGTTCGTGAAAACTGTACTCACCTATCCCCAGGTCCTGCTCGGTACCGGGCCCCTGGGATCAGGACCGGGTCGTCGTCACTGTCGTCTGTGTCCTGCAGAGCCGCGTCCGCGGCCGAGGCCTCCTCGGGGAGTGCGGGCCCGACGGCCGCCGCCCGACACAGAGGCTCGGGGCTGGGGCTGCGGCGCCGGGCGGTGGCCTCAGCGCCGGCTCCGTCGGGCGTGGCCGGCCCTCGGCCCGCCTCAGACGAAGCGGCGTCTTCCGGAGCCCCAGCCGGACTCTCGGGGTCCAGGTCGCCCCTCTCGCCTGCGCTGGGGTCCCCGGGCTCGGGCGAGCGCCGGGCGGACGGTGCTGTCAGAACACAGAGTTGGCCCGGGGTCACCGCATCTGACTGCACGGCAGACGCGGCCCCCTCTGACGCCGGGTCCCGCTCCCCTCCGTGGACAGCAGAACCCGCAGCACCCCCGCCGGGAGGTGGCCGCCCCTGCAGAGAGGAACGCGGCAGCCGAGGGCTCCCTGTCCCCTACCCCGCGGGCAGCAGCTGCCCAGGGAGGCGGCGACTCACCCCTGCCGGCCCGGCTCTGCGCTGCCGTTTCCGCAGACGCGCCTTCCGGCCGAGCGGTGCCGTCCTCCGCAGCTCCTGGGAAACAGGCCGAACAATTGTGAGACACAGTTTTTTTAGAAAAACAGCCACCAACTTAATTCTCCAGCTTTCTTACGTTCAAGTAACTCTTAACCCTCTGGGGGTCACAGAGACCGCCACTGGGATAAAGCTGCCCTTGGTAGGACGCCAGCCCCGACGCCCGCAGCAGACGGGACAGACAGACAGACAGATACCCTCGGGGAGCGAGTGCCCACCCACCCCCAAGCCCCAGCCTTCCGGGCACTGGCTCCGCGTGACAATCTCTGGTGTGTGCGTTGCACACGACGCCTCACAGCGGACACACTTGATCTTGCTTGTTCTCTGAACTTCACAGTGGAGTCTACACGTGGAACAGCGTTCTCTGGCCCCTCGAGCATGCGTGTGGCACCATCTGAACCACCACGGACAGGGAGGAAAGCTGGGTCTACTCTAAATTCTGTTTTGTCCACGGAAAGGACTTAATTCCGGGGCTTCGCTCCACGACCCCCGGGGACCAGTGTTCTGCGCCTGGCTGACACCTGCTTCCTTCAGCGGACAGCTGTCCTACACGGTTAATTCTTTAACTGTTACACTGAAGGAGCTACTCATTGTTTTACAACAGAGCTCAGGCATTCCTTCACTCATCAAGCACTTATGGAGATCTACTCTGTTTCAGACTCTTTCATACAATGGTCACATCAGAACATTCTAGAAAAAGGTTCTGAAAAGTCCCCTGTCAGAGAGAGGGTTCAGTGAGAGCCCGGTCAGCTCGTGCCCCTTCCTCCTTTCCCTCCACCAGCCCCCAGGCCCCAAAGACACGCAGGCAGACACTCGGAACCCCACTACAGATGGGCACTGACAGTGCGCACATCGCTGGTGTGACGGCCACATCCCCTGGCCACTGTGTCCGAAGACAGGCTTGGGGGGCACTGTGAGTCCCTTCTGCAATGCTGACAGCCCCCACCCGCTGCACCTGTTACTGTTTATCAATAGCAACAGCCAGACTAGGGGCAAAGGGATTCGTTTAAAGCAAGAAACCAAAGGGCACCACTGAGGGTGCCGGCAAGTGGGGGGACGCCCCACGCTGGGCTGTATGATGATAAAGCCCGGTCGCAGCTTACCTGTCTCGCCGTCTCCCGCTGCAGGCGGCTCTGAGCTCTGGGGGACCGGGGCCCCCTCCGGCCCCTCGGACTTGCTGTGGGTCCCGCTCCCTCTGGAGCTGGAGGAAGTGCTGCTCCTGTCACCAAAACAAGGCAAGTGGCCCCCCAGGGAGTTACTTAAGAGTGACCGTAAGGTCACTTTTATATTTAACAACTACAGAAGTAGTTCCAAAAATTCAGGCTACAGACAAAATGTAGGACTCATTATTTTAACAGTAGCTACAGAACATCACTTTTAATAACCAAGGGGATGCTTCTAACCCCCTTCAATCTTAAAAAGGAGACTTTAAAACACAGAAGGGCCACTTCTGCACCGTCTCAGTGCTTCCGCGGCTGTCTGTACTCTCTGCACACCCCTCCCTTGAACTGTACAGCAGCGACACGCTCTCCCTTCTCCTCCGCACCGGGCTGACTCGCCCCGTCCAAAGCCCCAGGGGTCCCCCAGCGTTGGGTCGGATGCCCTCTCTGGCCTCGGCTGTCCGGGGCTATCCTGAAGCGGGCTGCGGGAAGGGCCACGGCACGCCTTCAGTCTCCGAGCCGTGCTCTGCGACCACTCCCACTCCCGGTTCCGGGCTGTCCCCCAAGCGTGGCGGGCGGTGGGTGCCGGGCACCGCCGTCTGCAGACGCCCGGGATGGCTTCTGGTTTAGTTTCGAAGCCCACCTGCCGCCGGCCACAGGGAGCACTCGGGTGCGAGCAGAATGCTCGCCGGCGTGAACCAACGCGTTCCGGTGCGCGTTCCGGGACACGCCACGGTGTCACAGATTGTAAGGGGGGGTTGGGCAGGAAAGAAACAGGAAAATGTGTGACACCGTGACTCAGACTAAAGTCACATTCACAGAAATGCAAGTTTCTCAAATGTGGAATAAATGTGAACAAGAGAATGAAACTTAGGAGATAGGGTCACTTAGAGAACAGTAATTACAGACCAATAGCAGTGACTCGGTAAAGTACAAATTATCATCAATTTTTTGGCCAAGGTTTTATTAAAAAAACAAAACCTTTCAGGCCAATCGCAAAAGTGAATCTGACTTTTGAAAAGGGCGCCCATGCCAATGCGGCGTCCTGAGAGAGGGCGCGGCCGCCACATGGGGTCTGCATGCGGAGAGGGGCGTCCGGCGGTGTCGTCTCGGAAAGGCAGGTGCCAGTGATCCTTCCGTACTTTCCTGTAGATTCTACCTTTTTTTTGGCCACTAACCTGCATTTCTTTTTAACCAGAAATAAACATATAGCCATCTTAGTAGAGAGAAACTAGCATGATCTATAAATCCTATTTTTTCCATGGAGAAAGCTATGGCACAGGCGTAAATAAGTGCTCATGCGTGACAGTTAGAGGAATTAGAACACTGTGGCGCTGACGCAGGAGCCGAGCCATTAGTTGGAGAGACAAAGTGACCGAGTAAGTGTGTTTAGCGAATGTTAATGTGGCACTGTCAGTCACAGAGGAGGGAGGGGACTGTTCAGTAAATGGTCTCGGGACAGAGGGCAGCCACGGATCAAACTACGCTATTAAGCTCTGCAGCACACTTTATGGCAAAAAAAGCTACAGAAGAACTAAACATATAATTTTTGACACAAAATCCTAGAACTGTAAGAGGAAAACAAGAAAAAACTTCCCTCCAGTCCTGGGAAGGAAAGGGCTTTTCGAAGCGTGGGCTCACAGGCTGTGACCACAAAGCGAAAGCACCACCAAACGGAGAGACAGACAACAAGCTGGGAAAACATCTGCAAGGATGGGAGTTAACCCTGTAATGCACAGCGACCCCCTCTAATCGGCGCGGACAGGGTCCGTGCTGTGGTGGGGAGCTGCGCGGAGGGCACGAGAGGCCACGTGCGAGAGACAGACGCGCCGGCAGCTGGTGGGCTCCCTGCGGGCTCCGGGCTGCGGCTGCTGAGAGCCACGCCCCCTGGGAGCCACGCCCCCTCCCGCACTGTCCAGCTGCGCCTACAGCCGCCTCCCAGGTGGGTTCTCCCGAACTCGCGCCGTCTCCGGGCGAGAACACCGGGCCTCAGGCTCAACGACTGTCAGGCTCGGGTCTGAGCTCTCAGCGGGCTCCACTGCCTCATCCGTCAGCCACCAGAGAAACCGCAGCGGGGGCACGACCCCGCGGTGGCAGGGACGGGAAACAGGGCGTCCTTTCCTGAATTTGTTAAGGCTGAGTGTCAATCCTCCCCTAGTCAGGAAAAAAACCTGATTACCTCCTTGATGAAGAAACAAGAACCCGGTGAATGGGAGAACGTAGCTCACGGTCAGTTTCTCGGGAAGGAGAAGCAGTATTCGGAGGAGGAGTGGGACCACACATTCTTCTCTAGAAACAGTGCTCCGATGAGATTCTTTAGGGAAACCGGCCCCTTCGGCCCAGAAGGGTGAGAAGAGAACAGACAAAAAGAGGGGGGACGACAGCCTCCCACGAGCCTGAATTGCACATGGAGAGAAAGGGCCAGGGAACCCTGACTTGAAGAAGCAGAGGTCAGACACTCGGGCTCGTAGGGAAACCCTACCGACAAACACACACCCAGAGCCCAGCCTCTTCTCGCTCCGTCCCTTGCTCCCAACCTGGTCCAAGGCAGCGCCACACCTGGCCTCGCTAACACCGCAGCCTGCCGCCTGACGTCCTGGCTCCCACCCACGGCCTCTGCCTGCCCAGCCACCAGACAGATGTCCCCCGGCCTTTCAGACACACTCCTCGCTGCCTCGGCTGACCGCTCCTGGCCCTGTTCCCTCCTTGGGGCACCCCGCTCCGGCTACACGGGACTGCCCCTCTCGCAGACCCTGGCACGCCGCAGGCCTGCTACCGCCCGGCCCACGCTCTGTCTGCTCCTCCCCCCGCTGCGGCTGGGCACGCGTGGCCCCCCCTTCTCACCCTCCAGGGATGCGGCCCCTCCCCTGGGCCCTCGAGCCACCCTCCCCTGCCCCGCGGCCTTCCACCGCCTGTGGTACCTTCCACCCCACCCCACAGTTCACGTACTGATCACATGTGCACCCGTCTCCCCCCCCCAAACAGGGCAGAGACGCTTTGCCTGTGTTTTCACCGACTCACTCCCCGCGTCCACAAGTCTCGGAAACACGGAAGGCATTCCATATTTGGAAATGCTACTTAATCAAAGATTTTAGTGTGAAATACGTACACACATCAACACAAATGGAAGCCAGTGAACTGGAATACATAAATATTAATACAACCATATATGAACAGATAATCAATTATATTAATAAATATATAGCTGCATTATATATTATTTACACATATTATATATTATACATTATACCAACACAACATAATTGTATTAGTATATAATTATGTTAATATATTAATTATATAGCATAACTAATATATTGGTTATGAAGTTACTAATATGTATAGTGTGTGATTATAGTACTGTATAATCGGTCATTATATATTAGGAAAGATCATATTATCTTTGTATTAGTTAATATTAACACAGTAATAGTAACACATTTAAATGAAAGATTTTGGAGGCAGTCTGAAGCAGAAGTCCATGAGACAGTGGGAAAGAATATAAGAAGCCCCCATAATTTGAACTTTTTTAGAGAGTAAGATTTAAGTAGATTAATGACCAATCAATAAAATCAGAAACATCATTAAAGAGAACCTATACAACCATTAAATAAACAGAGACAAATGTTATTTTAAAATCAAATATACAAGTTAAAGAGACAGGAGCACGCTGGACATCGGCCCAGAGACGGCAGGCAAGAGCCTGCTGTGTCATGTGCTGCCGCTGACAGGCGATGACACAAGGCCCTTTAGAAACAATTCGGCAGCGTCTCTGACCTGGGTACAGTTGGCTGCTGGAAGTACGCCTGCAGTCAATAACCTCAGAGGCAGGGCACAGCCTGTAGACAAAGGTACTCGGCACAGCTGTTTTGGTTAGGTTAAAGAAGGCAGGCAGAGCCACGGTGCGGCTGGAGAGAGGTGGTTAAGTCCCTCTACCTGATGGCCATTACACAGCGCACACAACAGCATTTACGAAAGCTAGCTAGTAACCTGTGAGTCTTTATTACCAAGTGAAGTCAGATAAAGGCAGGGAGAATCGAGTATATTCAACATGATTAAAATTACGTTTTATAGCTCAAAACAAAAATCGTACACACATACATATACATGTATCTATACACAGAAGCAACACTGTAAGAAGCTCTAAAACATCAGACTTGTTATTTTCACGCTGGTCTGCAGTTAATGAACTCTCGTTATCTTTTGCATCTTCTCTCAGGAGGAGTGTCCCAGACTGGCAGCATCAGCGTCAGCTGGGAAGCTTCTAGAACTGCAGATCCCCGGCCGCTCCTCCCGAGAGCTCTCCGAGCGCTGCACGCGCGCAGCGGCAGCAACAAGACAGAGAGACGGTGAGGGCTACACAGAGAACCTGACACAGTCCTACAACACGGCAAGAGCAGCGCGCGGGAGCGCGGACTTACCATTCGTCTGTAAAGTCCAGTTTTATTGTGCTCGCGGTTGTCCCCTCTGTGCTGTAGTGCAAACTTAAAACGGGTTCCCCTGTCCCTGGCTTGGGGCTCAGCTTTTCATTACTGTTATCTGAAAATTGCGTTTAAAACATTTGAAAAAGTCTCTGGCACCAGTAAACAGATGACATTTCCTACAATTTCTAAAACTTAAATTAGGCTGCCCCGGTCATAACCCTCACACCTGCTAAGGCTCTCCCGTCAAGTGCAAGGGCAAGCGTTACAGACACTCTCACACCCCAAAGCGGCACTGCAGTGCGCCCCAGCTCTGTGTGCGCGACTTCCTCGGATGCAGGTGGAAGTCCAACACGTCTGGGAACCACTATTTCGTCGTTAGGGAATCAGAGAGCATTCGCATGCAATGACATACATTATCGACTGCACTTTTACTTAAAGGACGTGCTCAGTAGTTCCCGCTGCGTTGCTGCGCACCAAACGCCCACGGAGCCCCAGACCCACCATGGGCTCCTCCGGAAAGACCGGGAAGAGGCAAGGGCTCCGAGAGAAAACTCTTTCAGGCTCGCACTTACAATTGGGGGGGGGGGGGGGGGGGGGTGGGGTGGGGTGGGGGTGGGGTGGCAGGATCTAGTGTGCTTTGCAATGTTCTAGAATGGTCTGTTATGATCGTGTTTTGATAGACTCCACCTCCTCCTCCTGGCTGGTCTTGCGAGGACTCTGACCACTAAATTATAAGACTCTATAGGTGATTTCCATGACATACATCTATTTCAACAAATAAAATCTTTGCAAAATGGCAGATAAAACCTAGAAACCCTACAGGAACTGATATATACCACTTCAAAGCCGCCCTCCCCCAGAGGACACGGGTGTTCAAGGGCAGAGTCACGCAGGGCTGTGAAGTCCTCCTGTTCGCGGGGCAGACCAGCGCGGGGAGCGTTCACACACACTGCTCTTGGGGAGGGAGCTCACACTGCTGTGTGACCGGGCACCGCACTTCTGCCAGGGCCTTGGGGAAAGAAAGCTCTTCCGTGGTGTCACTGTTCTCTTGATACCAGTTTGAGAAGTGACACAGTAGCACTAAAAACAAACTTTGTCTTGAAACATAACAAAAGCAGTAACGACTTAATGAAACCTAAACAACTCCGGTTTTGTGGTTCTCAGGTGCACGTTAGTTACAATAGTTACAGTAAAGGTTCTCGGTCTTTCCGCCTGCCTTCCACCGGCAGAGGCTGGCGCGCTTGCTGCAAGGGAGGCTCAGAGAACCCGGGCCCCAGCGCCCATGGTGAGGCAGGACACCTCCCGAGCCCCGAAGCAGAACTGTGGGGGAACGGAGAAGGGTTCTTTCTCCCCACGAGGTGAGAAGCCAGGAGGACAGCAACAGTCCTTACCTCTGCCTCGGGAGGAGCCTGCTCCGATAACATCGGCTTCTATTTGAAAATAAAAATCTAACAAAGTCTAAAGCTCGCCTCCCAAACGGTGCGGTCACTGTTTCTGCACCACGTTCACGATGGCCAGGTCCTTGATACAAACAGTTGTGGAAATAAATGAACCACTTACAACTTCCAAAGACTCATTATTATAGTGTTTTGGAGGAGGTATTTTACCAGATGGCATTCAGATAAAATAATTAACAGACCCTTAGCTAACATAAAATGATCAAAGATGGGACTTTTAAAACCTCTATCCTCTCCTGGACCATCTTTGAAAATTTTGCCGTTTCTTAGTCAGTTGTCCACATAGTTTTCCCTTACTCCTCAGTTACGGGGCCAAAATTTTGGCCCTGCTGCTGCCAAGGTCATGGCCACCTCAGGCGTCTGGAATTGGCGGGGACAGTGAAGACCAGAGGCTTGAGGAAACGCAGAGGCAGGACGGGAACCAGTCACTCCCCCATGCCAGTTCGCACAGAGCCCCGCTGCGCCCACTGGGAAGTGAAGAAGGAAAACGAAACCAACCAGCACCATCTCCTAGGTCCACCCGAGTTACCGAAGGGGAGTGACGAGAAGTGAGGCGTAAATGCCACATCAAAACTTTCCTTTGGAAGGAAATGAAAGAGACAAGTGACAGACACCTGCATGCTGTGACTACAGAAAAGGAGGACACAGAGCCATCGAGAGCGAGAGTGGGGTGGAAATGATCCTATTTGAATATACAGGACCCCACACCACCCCCAAGCAAAAACTTCTTGAGATGGTCAATGTTAACTGAAACCTTCTTCCTTACAGTATCTACTATGAAGTTACCACTTCATCTCTCATGAGTATAAGCCATACATTGTAAATCATGTCAAACACAGTGTATTCAGCCCTGGCTGATGTGTCTCGGTGGACTGGGCATCAGCCTGCAAACCAAAAACTTGTGGGTTCGAGTCCCAGCCAGGGCATGGGCCTGGGTTGCAGGCCAGATCCCCAGTAGGGGGCACGTGAGAGGCAACCACACGAGGATGTTTCTCTCCCCCCTTTCTCTCTCCCTTCCCCCCCTCTAAAAATGAATGAATAAAATGTAAAAAACAAAACAACCCTCCACACCAGTATTCATTTAATTTAGAAATGAAATGAACTCTTCGATTAGGCTGTTATGCGCTCACCAGCCTTGCGTGACACGGGCCCGTCACTGTCTGGGCAGAAGGCACTGCCCCGTCAGCTCCCCGAGCCTCGGGCCCCCTGGCCCGGGCCTCCCTTCATGCTGCGCACGCACAGGTCTCCGTGACCGGCGCAGAGCACGGCCCTGTCGTCGTCGGCCCAGGTCTCCACCCCACGCCCTCGCCTGGCTCCAGTCCGCTCTCCCTGGTCCACGCCCCCCTCCCGGGGTCCACGCCCCCCGCCTGAGCGTTCTGGTCCGTCACATTGGACCTTCTCAGACAGAGACCCCTGGCTTCCTAGGGAACCCGTTCACAACCTGCTTCTGATAAAATGTACATTGCAAGTAACAAATATCTAAGAAAAGTCTACTTTAAAGAACAAAATGGCATGCTTCATTCCTACCGAATTTGAAAAAGCGGTATTTGTAACCACACTGATTTCCCGATCTGCTGTTTGTCAGCGGCCGGACTGGCAAACACGGTCCGGAACTGCGCTGCTGAAAGCCTCCCTCACGGACGCAGGCACGCACGGCGCCGCTTAAAGGCTTCCCCCAACGGGCAGAGGTTCTGGCTTAGGAGCTGTGAGGGTCAGAACCCCCCACCCCTGACACACAGACGCGACACGGAAAGCCCCACCACACGAGCGACTGAAGCGTCCTGGGCCTGACCGCGTCCCGGGAGCCGTGGGCATCTTCCCCGTCGCATCACCTGTGAACACCTGTGTTTCGGAGAATGAAACGGCTGAGCTGGGTTTCCTTCTCCAGTTACCCAGGTTTCCTGCAACGTTCCTGCGGACCACACTGGCCTGGACAGCACTGGGTATGAAGGAGAAAACAAGACTGCTCGAACAGATAACTACTCTGGTTAAGGAGTAGCCACTGTCACTGCTGCTGTCCCTCAGAGGTGGCCGTGTGCCCTGCAGCAGCGCGGCGGGAACTGACACAGTCCCGTCAGCCAGATGTGACTCCGGCTCAGAGCACTGGGGGCCGTGCCGTCCTCTTCCGGGACCCCCGAGTCCAACCGGCCTCCCCCCCTGCAGGCCTTAGGAGAAGAGAAGCAACGGAACCACCGTGCACTCAGCACCAGGGCAGCGTGGTGGGGGGAAAACCCACGTGAGCTCGCCCGACACTGCTGAGTTTGCTGACGGCTGCTCCGCACAGCCCGCCGGGTGACGGCGGTCACTGAGGACCGCCGAGGAGGCCGGCAGGGCGGCGTGCTCTCCCTCCGTCGGGGTGAGCGGCGCCGAACTCAAGCGCACGGTCCGGAGCCCAGGAACAGCCACAGGAAGACCCAGACAATCCCCTGCACCGGGAAAGACTTCGTTTTCCAGGGTCAGAGCGAACGTCAACAACGTGCGATTCCTGGCCGCAGGCTGTTATTGACTATTATTACTATAATGGCCAGCGATGCACTTTAAGGCCCTTTCCAGAAGCTACACAAAAGCCCTTTTGTCAGGTGACAGCACTGGCTCAGAGATTTCAATAGGGGCTGGAATACAGTCTGAAAGCAGCCTCTTCTAACTTGTTTAATTAGCTACCTCTCTAGCCTCTCAGAGAAGAGTCACAGATTAACTTTTTTTGGTAACACGTGCTTTCGCACCATTTTATCCGAGCGTTTCCACGGTGAAATCACATTCCTCTGTGGTTCCAAGGAATGCGCTCCCAGATGTGCAGGACGTGGAGGGCGCCCACAGCGGCACAGGACATGCTGCCTGGGCAGCTAGGTTTGCACGCCGGCTCGTCCCACACCCGGCACGTCCCCGAGCTCCGAGTCTCGCCTGGCGCACGTCCACCCCCAGGCCCGCACCTCCACCACCGGGACAGCCTCCTGAGCAGTCCGTCTCCGGCCCAGTCCCCACCACCCTCCGTGCAGAGGAGCCAGGCCAGGCCACACCCCCGAATGCACACCCTTCGTCCGTCCGTCCGCAGCCTCATGTCTCAACAGAAGATCCAGAAGCTCCTTCTCGCCCTGGCCCCCAACCCACTGCCTCTCGAGGGCGTGGCACGCTCCAGCCCGCTGGGCCCTTCCAGCCACTCAAACGTGACCGCCTCTGGCCTCGGCCCACGCCGTCCACACCGCCTTCACCTGGTGTGGCCTGACCAGCCCTCCGATCCCCATCAGGACGTCTTATTTTCAGGGGTGCCGCACTCGGGCCCTGCCGGAGAGAGAAAGAGCCTCTCGCGTGTTCCACGGCCGTGGAACTGTCACTTCCTGTCTCTAACACTCAGCACTCGCACACTCCCCGCTGACACAGCAGGCACGATCGCTAGGCATTTATTAACAACATTAGCGTTGTCAGCGTCAATTTAATGGCCGAGTCAAAGACGTGATCCTGTCAGGACGACATCAGGAAAGGAAAACTTCAATTTGGTGACAGTGTTTCATCTGAAGGGCTGAACACTCCATGCACGGCAGGTCTAATTTCTGTTTCTCAAACGTTGCGCTTTTGTTAACAATTCAAGGTAAACAAATAAAAAGCATCGGTTGCAAACAACCAGTTCAATAATGTGCACGTAATTACTGAAAGAAATATT